TGTCTTGCCTGGCATGTGTCGGGGTGGCGGGGCACAAATGGCTGTGCTCTGTGAAGACCCCCCGCCTTGACCCAACCCTGCCGCAGGGGGTGGACGCGGACTTTGACGCCGCGACGCGCGCCATCGTGGCCGCCGATGCCGCGCTGGACGACTACCTCGAGGTGCGTGGCGTTGCCGGGCCTGGACGGGGAGGAGGAAGGGCTCCTGTGCTGGCCTGGGAGTTGGCGGAGCGTAGGGCATCTTGCGTTCGAGCTACGCCCTCCAAATGTGCCCTCACATGTGCTGTGACCGGAAACCCAAGTCGCCATCCCAACTCTCGCCCATGCCTTAGGAGGTGAAGGGCTTGCTGAAGACTCGAGCGGGGGTGACCTACGTCTCACTCAATAAGGACAGCCACGTCCTGCAGCTGCCCGAGGTGTTTGTCGGCGTAGCGGTGGGGGCCGCACTGGTTTGCGCGCCGATTGCCCTCTGCGACGAGCCTGGCCATCCCAGGCCAGAGCCTTGGGTCTGCCGCCAGGATCCCCGAGCCTCCCCATCTTTGCCCACCATTTCCGCAGTCGGTGACCACGCCCGCCTCCTGGGAGCCCATGACGGCGAAGAAGGGGGTTCGGCGATACACCAACACCCAGCTGAGGGCCCTGGTCAAGCGGCGCGAGGCGGCGCATGAGGCACGAGTCGTGGCCCAGGCCGGCATCCTCGTGGTGAGGTTTTGAAGACAGGGTGTGAGTTGGTGTGCTGGGATGGCGAGGGATGAGCTCCAGGTCTGGATACTCTGAGAGGATCCCAGAGGAAGGTGGCGGCCACGAACCCACCCACCACTCTCGGCATGCCTCTCCCCACCCCCCACACCTCAAAGCACACTCCTCGCTCCACAGGCGCTGCTGAGGCGCTTTGCCGAGCACCAGGGCGTCTGGTCGGCGGCTGTCGAGTGCTCGGCGCAGCTGGACGCCCTGCTCTCGCTGGCGGTGGCTGCCGGCTCCAGCGCAGGGCCGATGTGCCGGCCCGAGATCCTCCCCTGGTCCGACGTCGGCGGTGAGAAGAGGGGAGGGTCCAGGGGTCGTAGGGAGGGGAGGGCAGGGGACATTGAGAGAGTGCGCTGGCAGTGCACATGGGGGAAGGCCCTGCAGCCTTCCTCATGATGCGTAGACGTCCCCCAGAGGACACCCCTCAACCCTGCCTCCCCTCCAAGTCAGCTCCTCCTGGTACCAACAACCTTCAGGCCCCATGTTTGAGGCCAAGGACCTGCGGCACCCCGTCTCCGCGGTGATGGAGGCGGCTGCCATGTCCAGCGGCGGCGGCGGCGGGTTTGTGCCCAACGACGTGTCGCTGGGAGCCGACGCGCCGCCCTTCCTCGTGCTGACAGGTCGGTCGGTTGGGTGTGGTAGGAAGATGGGGGGGCAGCGTTGCTCTTCCGCTGGCGGTGCGCACCAAGTCGTCACGTGCCGACCCTCATCCCAGGCCCGTTTGCGGCCTCTCCATGACCCACACTGGGCGCCAGGAACCCCTCGACCCATCACCTCCCCGCCCCCTCGCCTCCCATCCCCCTCACTCCCCCCACCCCTCACACAACCCACGCACGCCCAGGCCCCAACATGGGCGGCAAGTCGACGCTGATGCGCCAGATCTGCCTGGCGGTGGTGCTGGCTCAGGTGGGGGCCTGGGTCCCTGCGGCGAGCCTGCGCCTGACCCCTGCCGACTCGCTGTTCGTGCGCATGGGCGCGCGCGACCGCCTGCTCCTGGGCCAGTCCACCTTCTTCGTGGAGATGGCAGAGACCTCGGCCGCGCTGGCGCGTGCCACCCGGCACAGCCTGGTGGCGCTGGACGAGCTGGGCCGTGGCACGGCAACCAGCGATGGCGCCGCCATCGCCGGCGCGGTGCTGGAGCACCTGGCAAGCGACCTGCGCTGCCGCGGCCTGTTCGCCACGCACTACCACGCCGTGGCGGAGCACGCACAGGTGGCGCTGCCGGTGGCGGTGTGCCACATGGCCTGCCGCGTGGACGGCGACGGCGGCGACCACGTCACCTTCCTCTACAAGCTCGTGCCGGGGGCCTGCCCCGCCAGCTATGGCGTCAACGTCGCCAGGTGGGCTGATTGGTGTACATGTGTTCTTCGAGGGGGGAAAGAGGGAGGAAAGGAGGAAAGTAGTGGTGTGCTCCGGGCTTTGAATAGCCCCACAAGAATGTGGTGTGTGGGTTGCCGGGGTTCTGCTAGAGGGTGATGAGGACCGCATTGAGGCCCTGTTGCGACCCAAGCCCGTGCCTCCATTCTACCTGTCGCAGGCTGGCGGGCCTGCCGGACGCCGTGGTGCGGCGGGCAAGCAGCATGGCGGCCTCCCTGGCACAGGGGGCCACCATCGACGGGGAGGAGGGGGCACGGGAGAAGCTGGGCAGCATCCTGGAGGCCTGCCGGCGGGGGCCCAAGGCCGTGCAGGCAGCATGGCTGTCCATGCGCCGCCCAGCCATATCAGTGTGAAACCGACAGCTCTGTACATGCATGTACGATCAGTCAGTGGTTGCTCCTTGCTTTGCCATCGCGTTGCCAGCCGTTCGTCCCAGTGCAGTGTTGCTACGGTGCGAGGAACCTAGGGACCTTGTCGGAAATTCAAATCGCGAAAGATTCTCGGAAAGATACCATTTACGACATGGCTAGCAATGGCACGAGCCAGGCCCGGAGGCACATACCAAGGCCCCATAACACACTTCAGACCCCCAAAAGAAGTTGTACAATGCAACACTGGATGCCATGATGAGCGACAAGCCAGCATCAGGCCCGGTTCCGTGGCCCTGGTCGGGTCTGGACCGGGGATTTGTATGGTTTGATGCCGCATATACCGTTTTGACAACAGCATCTAGACAGACCCGGCGCAACACGATGCTGGGGGATCTACACAGGAATAAAACCTGAGAAATCATGCGCTGAAGACGGCTTTACCAGCACGACCAGTCCGATCTCCCTGCCCACCATCCCCTGCTCGACACCATGGGCAAAGGCGGCGACGGAAGCGAGAATGTGCCATCCCTGCGGCGCTCCTCCAGCCTGCTGCGCAGGCTGCAGCAGGCCGGCATATCGTCCAGGGTTGGCGACATCAAGGCCGATCTCACCGTACTGAAGAACATCTGGTGAGTTGCGCCGCCTGGTGGGGCTCCGGGGTGGCAGCTCCATTCCGATCTGTGCGAGGTGGGAAAACGTGTTCCAGGCAGGAGCCCCTGATATATTGAATGCATGCCCCTTTCCTTTGTCGCTCCAGGTTCAAGAAGCTGAGGACTGATGGGAGTCATGCTCAGAGGCTGGAGCAGTTTTACGGACCCCAGGCCCATGCATGTGGGTGGGATGAGCATGGGTCCGGGGGTTGCCTGTATGCTGCTTCGATGATGGGAGTTCCATGCCCAGTCAGTGGAAACCCCTGTGAGCTGATCCATCCCACCCCTGCAAATGAACACGCAGACGATGCCTTCCGCTCCAAGTTCCTGTGGGGCCGGGAGCCGCTCGTGGCTGCCTGCGCTGCACGACTGAAGGCCAACTCTGACATGGTCTGGGTCGACCTGGGCGGCGGCACAGCCGTGAGTTGGGAGCTTGGGATCAATTTTCTTGGGATTAGGTACATGGCCACACCAGCAACTCAATCCATACTTGTTTAGGAGTCTGCCATGTTTGTGGCGATGACCGCTCAGAACCCTGGCAAAGTGCACAAAAAGGTCGACTTCACAATCCACCCCACACACCACCTTGCCTGGCGCAGGAGAACGTGGCGCTGATGTCCAAGTTCATGGATCTGAAGAGGTTCAGCCACATCTATGTGGTGGATCTGTGTTCCTCCCTGTGCAGACAGGTGGGGCAGGGCTTGGTGAATGTGGCATTCCAGAGACCGTTTCTGCTCCAAGGTACACCCTTGATAGCTGACAACCATAGGTGGCCAACAAAATTCTCCCTGCCATCCCATTTACAGGCGGAGCAGAAGGTGGCTCAGCATGGCTGGACCAACGTGACTGTGGTGGAAGGTGACGCCTGCACCTTTGTTCCCCCCGGCGATGTTGCGACCCTCGTCACCTTCTCCTATTCCCTCTCAAGTACGTGCAGGGGTGGGAAATGGGGTGAAAGCGCTGCCCTTTTCAGGCATCGAGACATGCTTTTCCCTTGCTCAGCTGAGCGTATTGTTGAGAACGCTGATGACCTCTCACAATTGTGCCCCTATCCTCCTGAACTCGCTCCGCATTGGGACCTTGTCAGGACTCACCGTTTCCTTGCCTCGGCACCTTGACGGTTTACACAATCCATCGTGCTGCCTGCACCCATGCCACGAGTTCCCACACCTCGAATCAAAGCACTTATCCCCAGCCTCCCAAACCAACGACAGTGATCCCCGACTTCCTCGCGGCAATCGACGCCGCCGCCAGCTACCTGGACCCCTCCATCGGCATCCTGGGCGTCACCGACTTCTACGTCTCCTCCAAGTTCGACTTCCCGCTGCGCCAGCTGTCCTGGGTGCGCCGCTTCTTCTGGCGCAGCGTCTTCGACACCGACAACATCGACATCGGCCCCGAGCGCCGCCACTACCTGGACCACAAGCTGTGCCGGGTGTGGGAGCGCAACGGCGAGGGCACCATCCCCTATGTCCCCGCCCCACTCCGCTGCCCCTTCTACGTGTGGTTGGGCCGGGCGCCCACCCTGGCAGCGCAGCTGGTGGAGCCCAAGGTGGGCGGGTGTTTCGGGTGGGTGCATGCACAGGGGTGGCGGAGTAGGTCAGAGCACGGCCTCGCCCTCGAAAACATTCTAGAATGATAGCTTTTGATATCAATGCTGCATGGTCCTTCCTAACTTCCCTCCGCAAACTTCCGTTCCATATCTGCAGGTGGAGGCCCCCCACTGCTTCCCTCCCACCTTCCTGTATACCCAGTCCTGGGAGGACCCTGCGGTGGACGAGCCCATCCTGGACATCCAGCCCGACGACGTCTGCCTCACCCTCACCTCCGGCGGCTGCAACACACTGCACCTGTGCCTGGCCGGCGCCGCCCAGGTGCACTCTGTGGACTGCAACCCCGCGCAGTCGGCGCTGCTGGAGCTCAAGGCCGTGGCCATCCGTCGACTGGGCTACGACGACGTGTGGAGCCTCTTTGGAGAGGGACGCCACGCCGACTTCCCGCGCCTGTATGAGCGCGAGCTGAGCCCCTTCCTGACGCAGACTTCGCATGCGTTCTGGCGCGACCGCCTGCACTACTTCAGGCAGGGCCTCTACTACCAGGGCGGCATGGTGAGTGGGAGTTTTTTGGGGGTGGAGAATTGGTTTAACGAGGAGAGGAGGGGGGCAGGGGGAGGTCAATAACGCCCACCTGCTCTGCACCCATGGAGACTCTCCTGCCCTGTGTGGATGACCTGGGACGAGAAGTCGAAGCCCCTGGCCGGCCACAGTATAATGTGCTGGCAATGCACCAGCCCCAGCCCTCCATTGCGCGTGAGGGCCTCTCTCCAAAGCTCAATATTCCGCTTCCCTCGCTGGCTCCTCGCAGGGCGCCGTCGTGTGGATGGCGCAGTGGCTGTTCTGGGCGCTGGGCCTGGGTGGTGGCATGAAGCGCCTGGTCTCCGCTCCCACACTGGAGGACCAAGTCAAGGTGTGCAGGCTTGGCTGGACGTGGGGTTTGGCTTCCAAGAAAACACCAGGAGACTGGCATGCCGGCTGTTGGCAAACTGACAAAAACTTGATGAATTGTATCCCCTCACAATCTCTCTTCTTTTCAGGTCTGGGAAGGCCTCTGGGTTGTGCGCTTCCTGGTCTATGCCCCGGTCTGGCTTTCCTCCCTGTTCGTCCAGTTCTTTGCGGCCCTGCTCTTCAACCGTGTGACCCTCTGGTGAGAAGCGAGGGGGGGGTTGTCGAGTATGGGTTGTATGTTTTCTGGGCTGTATCACGCAGGCACGTGCTGGAGGCAGCTGCCCGTACCTCAGACCAGCGCAAGCTGAGCCGCCCCCCCCCCCCCCCACCCTCCCCCTCGCAGGTTTGGCGCCGGCATCCCCTGCAAGCAGGCCGCCCTCATCCGCAAGGACGGCGTGCGGCTGAGCACATACGCGGCCCGCGTCTTCGACGGCGTGGTGCGAGGGTACAGCCTGAGGGACGACAATTGCTTCTACTACAACTGCCTCGCGGGTGAGTAGGAGTCGTGGTGTGAGCTGGCATGATAGCACGGGTCACGCTACCCTATGCGTGCTCGGTGCCGAGGGCGGACGGCGTGCCCTGCTGTGCGCTGTGCGGCTGGCCCAGGTCATGGCTGTGCGTGGGTTCGGAGGGTCGGCCTCACAGCGGCGCCTGCAACTCCCACGTCAGACCTCCCACGGCCCACCTCCCACGCCTCCCCCCGCAGGGCGCTATGCGCGCAACAACTGCCCCGCCTACCTGACGCCGCACGGCTTTGCCAACCTGAAGCAGGGAGCCCTGGACTCCCTGCAGATCCACACGGGCTTCTTCCTGCCCACCCTGAACAAGCGCAAGTACAGCAAGGTCATCCTCATGGACCACGTGGACTGGCTCAGCTTCCCGCAGGCAGAGGTAGGGGGGCTGCTGAGATGGTGAATGGCAGTTCTGATTCGCGATCTTCGACCCTGCGCCCTTCGATCCGGCATGGGCGGCACTGGATCCTGGTCGTGGTGTTCCCGTACCGGGGTCAAGAAATGACCTCCCCAACTCAACCAGCTACACACGCCTGGACCGCAGGAGGTCGCCGCGGCCCTGGGCCGGCAGGTGGTCAAGGGCGGCAAGGTCATCTGGAGGTCTGCCGCCCTGTCGCCCCCCTACGCACCGCTCATCGCCAAGGCGGGCTTCAAGGTCAGTGGCAAGCTGAGCTGAGACTTGTGGCTGTTTGGGCTTGAGGTGCGCCCCAGCTGCAGGTCGGGGCCCTGGGCATGCCTTCGTCTTGCCTTTGGGGTGTGACACAGGTGTAGCTTTGCTCGATGAAACACCCGCAATGCCACCTCTTGACCCAATGGCCCACCCTCCCCACTGCAACAGGTCAAGCGTGTGTCATCCATCGAGGAGGGATGCATGGACCGTGTCAATATGTACTCCTCCTTCTACGTGGCTGAGAAGCTCTGAACGAGTGCGTAACCATGTCAACTCCTGTGACGAAGCCTTTTTGCATGACATGGCACAGCTGTTCCGCCTCATCCCAAATTCCCCAACTGAGCTCGTAATGTCCAAATCATTTCTGTTTTTTCAGCCTCCCTATCCGTACTTGACACGTCAAAGGAGAGGGGTAGGTTACACGCAAGTTGATCAATCACCCGATAAGCCACATGTCACCGAAGTACGAACCAGATTGAGAACGATCAATCACCCCAGACCTTTCCATGCACAGTCATTAAATCTTGAAGAATATTTACGGAGTTAGACGCCCAATGTCGAGCTCGTGAGTGGGACTACCTGCGGGTGGGTGCCCTCGCCATCTGTACATGTCGACAGGGTGTGGGTCCGCAGCAACATATGTCAATCGCTTGCGTAGGTTCTACGATGAATTATGGCGTAGCAATCATATCAAGCTGCGCGGCTTGCTGGATTGCGAACTGGAGGCGTCTAGCAATGACAAAAAGGTCAAAGAGCTTTCTGGACTTGACAAATCCCAAAGCCACCAGCTGAGGTAGCATATGATGATTATAATTATGGCGAACCATCTCATGATGGAGTTCATTAATACTTCAACTTCCTCTGCAGCATCCAGAGTCAGAGTGGGCCAGGATGTACAATGCCTACCTGGACATTGCATCGTCCTTAGCGGGGGCACACACAGGACTGGTTCAGCCACAGAAGCTGGAGCTAGTAGCGCAGTGCCTGCAGGCCTGCCTGGGAAGGGCAGTGGAAATACGGCAGCACCTGGTATGTAGTCATGCGTCAGCAGTACAGCTGTCGCGCCCAGTGCTCTCATGCCTGATTGTGTGTATCTCTGCTGTGTTGGACAGAGATCTTGCTCCAACTGACGTTTAGGTGCGGCTCCGTGACTGACCAACATGGATGGCCTCCTTTTGCAACAGGTTGATCTGAAAGGAGGGCTGCCAGGCATTGACATCCCAAGGGGACCTGGCAGCGGCATCCCTGCGTTTGTATGCCTTCTCCCTCCCCATTCTCAAAGTGAACAGGGGGAGCTGACCATTCCCCAATGCGCGGTCCGACCCTGGGCATCAGAACGGATTGCATGCAGGAAGCCGGCAGACAGGGCAACCCTGACAGGAAGCAGTGAAGCTGATGCAGCGATCCGTATCCAGGCTGTCGCCCGCGGCTTTCTCGTCAGGCGGCGCCGGCGGCTGGGCCAGGGGCTGCGCTCCCTCTTGATCGGCCCGTCCTGCAGTGCCGCCACAGCGACTGTGGCTGCTGCAGAAGCAGAAAGAAAGAAAATGCGCAGCATGATGCAGGCCGAACTGGAGAGGACCATGAGGGAGGTGCAGGAGCGCAAGGTCTCCCAGGAAGGCCCCTTGTGGCAGCAAGCGATTCTCCACGAGGTGGGCATGGGGGCCCAATGCATTTGACTGGTGTGGAAGGTTGTGCTTCTAGTGCTTTGCTGCTCTGCAGATTTGTTGCTCCCTGTGCCTTGCCAGTCATGCCGCTTCAAGGAAACATGCTGCATGCTCCCAATGGCACCCTCACCATCCCCATGCAGCTGCAAGGCCTGCAGGCCTCAAAGCGTGCCGTCGATGATGTACGCACACTCCTCCCGGACCAACACCAGGCCTTCATCTCCGCACACCTCATGCACCTCGCGCCCAAGAGCCTCCCTGTGAGCCTGGAGCCAGGCACCCCTGAGGCACCGCGTGCATGGCGCGGACCCGAGAGGCCCTCCAGTCCCGGACAGGGTGGGAGCGGAGCACCACCCGGGGGCCCACCTGCGGCAGGCGCCAGGGGAGCAGTAGGTACGCCTCCCCGCTCCGGCTCCACAGCACCAGCAACCGCATCTAAGAAGGATCGACGGGGCTCTCCCATCCAGCCACGGGAGTCCGTGTGCCTCGCAGTTCTGAAGCGGGTTTGTAGTGCAACCGAACACCTGTGGCAGCAGCTGGAGGGAGAGCCTGGGGCACCATCCATGCCAGGGGCCACGCTCTTGGACGCTGGCATGGAAGGACTGGCCCCTCCATTTGTCTCCTGGGAACGGGACGGTCTGTGCCTTGCGGTGCTGGAGAAGGAAGCGGGCCGCCGTGCCTGGCTGGCGGTCTGCATGCGGACCTTGCAGGATTTCAGGGATGGTGATCCTGCTGACCATGGAGACAGCTGCGTCGCCAAGGTGCGATATGGCAGAGTAGGTCTGCCCTGCCCCTCTAATACTGCCCTGGAATGGTGCGGAGTTCTTGCTGCTGCCCCCTTTCTGGGGAACCATCATTCGCAGCCAGGCCCTGAGACTGCCAGTGATCGATATCACACTCAAATTTTCAACCAATATACCACAGAAAACCAACGGCCGCAAGGCAGGGGCCGGGCCAAGAAAGGCCAGCATGGCCCAAGCCAGCAAGAAGTCAAGGAAGAAATGGGCGCATGGCAACAAAGCCTTGGGGCCTGTGATGGTGAGGGAGCAAGGTAGCATTAGTGATGTATGTCTGAGCGCTGCGATTTATGAGGGGAGTCCCCACCATTGGCCTGAACATCCTGCTCCCACGCATTGCCAAGCTCAACATGAAACCCTCCCACGCAAGTACAGGATCAGACGCAAGGATTGCCGGGCCTGGATGCAATGGCAGCACAACTAGTGGAGCTGGGGCTCATGTACAACCCGCCTCCCACCAGCCTGGATGCCTACTGCCCGGTGCATGAAACCGGTCCGCCCGAGCCTCCCCGTCATGGCGGTGCCGCGGCCGATTCGGCCCCTGCAGCAGGCGGCAAGGCGTCCAATGTGGCCAGGTCCACCCGTCAGGGTTCCCATGGCCCTCAGGATGCCACGCATGCTGATGTCAGCATGCCAGGGGTCAAGCATGCACTCCTCATGCTGGGCACGCTGCCCCTAGCGCTGCCCAACCTGCGCACGGGGTAGGTCACACGCGGGGAGGCTCTTGACCCTGGGCTACTTGGGCAAGGCGGAGGGTGTGTCCTCTGGCACCACCATCCCACTCCTGCCTTGTTGCATGCATGCAGCGGAGCAGGGTTCCTGCGACCCATGCTGCTCTTTGGCGCACCTGGGAGCGGCAAAACCTGCGCCGTGCATGCCATTGCCGCCTCGGCTGGAGCTGTGATCGTGGACCTGAGTCCTGCCAAACTAGACAGCCTGCCCAGTGTGGCGCCGGCAACCCTTATTCGCACGGTGGGCTGGAGCATGCTTCCCTGGAGGAAAAGCAAATTGTGTGTGCCTGGACATGAGGTTTCGTGTTCCTGCAGCTCCAAGCAATGCTTTCACCCTACACCCGCCAAACTGCCCACCTTATCTCTCCCAGGCATTCGCTGTCGCCAAAGCCTGTGCGCCTGCCATTGTCCTGCTGGAAAGCGTGGAAAACATATTCATCACAGACCTGGGGCGGCAGGCCAAGGGACAGGGGGCAGCAAGCCATTCTGTCACCCTAATCAAGCGGGCCTTGCTCGAACAGGTAGGTGGGAGAGGGGTGTGGGGTCCAGGGCTGTTCAATATTTGAGATGGTATTAGGGGTGGGTTTTTAGGGAGCTGGGCATTCCCATGCCGTGCCGCCCTGTAGACCTGTGGACCTCCCTCAGGAGTCCCTCCTGGCCCTCCCCTGCACGGGATTGGCCCTGCAGGCAAGGACACTGGGCCCAGGGGACGGGGTCCTCATCCTGGGTACAAGTGCAGCGCCGGATTCATGCACACGTCAGAGCCTGCGTGACCTCCTTGCTTGCTTCACGCACCACATCTACTTGCCTCCCCCCAGCGCGTCAGTCAGGTGCGCTGGGAAGTTCGGGCGTGCTTGCCTGCCAGTGGTGTGCTGTCTGATAGGGATGAACATCAGTGGTAAATGCAGCCTTGCCTGTAGAAATGCTTGCTCATGCTCACCTCCTTCACCCTCTGGAATGCAAGTGTGCACGCCTGGTGCGACCTGGTGCTCGGGATCCTCTGCATGCAGAGCTGCTTGTTTGCACTGAGATGTCCTGCCCCCCTACCCCTGATCATCCTTGTCCAGGCGGGCAATCCTACTCCAAGCCCACCCACACTGGCCTCCGAGACTGCTTCACCTCGTCACTGAGCTCACGCGGGGTCTGCATGCCGGCCCGCTGAGGGCGCTGTGCCCGAGCTGGGCGGCGCCGGTGGCAGCAGACAGAGTCGAGGCTCTGCTGATGGAGAATTTACCCCACCTTCTGGACGAGCAGCGGGAGGAGGAGCTCCGGCTCTGGGCGCGCCGCCTGTGGGACCCCCTCCTGTCCATCGACCCTGCAAAGGCCCCAAAAGTAGCTGCAAAGGGGGAAGCCAGAACAACAACCCGGAAAAGCTGAGGCGTCAACCCCCCCTGACCTTCTCGACCCAGCAACACTCCCACACCTCTGAGGGACAAAGCAGGGCAGTGCGCAAACTTGTGTAAATACAGGTTCACAGGCCACGGCTGATGGTCTTGCGCGCCAGGATCAAGGCGCCCGCGCCCAGCGCTCCCACAGCCGCCGCGGCGCCTGCCTGGCGGGGTCCCCTGACCGAGCGGTACAGAGCCCCCGCCGATGCTCCCGCAGCCAGAGTCACCACCTCGGACGGCACGACGCCATCCGACATGTAGTTTCCAAAGGATTCTGTCGCCGCAAACATCAGTCCAAGAGCCCCCAGCGAGTTACCTGCATGGAAGGGGGCCCATCAGAGAGTGGGAAAGTGAGGCATGGAAGATAGGTTGATCATTGCATGGAGAGAATGGAGTGATCCCAGAAGATGCACTCATGCACAGGCAGGTCTCAAAGTCCACATGATGCAATGGGTCATGCACAGGTCAGGCATCCGGTTCTCTGCTCTTGACAGCCTAGAGAGCCCACCCCTTCCAAGACCCCCCCGATCTCAGCAGAAACAGGCAGGGCAGCGCACCGTTTGCACGCCCGAGCTTCCCCGAGGTGTTCAGCAGCTGGTTCAGGCGCAGGCGCTGGGTAGCACCGGCGCCGTCCACGGCAAGAGGGGTGGACAGGGCCTGGAATGCCCCCCCTGCCCCCTCCGGCCATGGCCCCGGCAAGGTAGCCCGCCCCAGTGTAATAGCTTAGGTTCTCCGACCACGATCGCGTGTGCACGGTGGCATCCTCGATGAAGAGGAACTCGGGCTGCTGGGGGAGTCGGAATTGAGGGACGCCCTCGCGACGGCTCACCGCCGCGAGACCTGTAAAGGAGAGGATGAGGAGGTTGTGTGAGTGAGGTTGGGGGAGGTTGAAGGGTTCCGGCCATGCATGCCATGTGAAATCGCCATTTACCTTCGTAAGGGTTGTACAAGCGGCTGGTGTCCTGTGCCTGGATATCGAATGCGTTACTCCCGGCAGACGAGGAGGGGAGTGTGTTGCTCGACGCTTCGACATTGAAGAGGCTCGGGTCGCTCCCTGCTGCAGCGGTAGCAGCGTCCAAGCTGGAAACATGATCCGCCTCCTCCTGGTTCCTTCCTCGAAGCCTGTCCAGGAAACCCATGTCTCAGTGCTCGGCCGGGGAGGGACCTCCGCCCGAAGGAGTTGCTGCCAGGAGAGCGAGCGTACAGTCCTCAGCTACACAGCGCGGGGGCCTGGCGTGACCGGCGTGTCTGTGACTTTCATGAAGCTGGTCAGCGTGAATGCAGCCAAGCGCCATATGATGTTCAGCATCAAGCGCGGGGTTGGGAGAAGCCCAGCGCGCGCCTAAACCCGCCCTTGCGAAAGAAAGAATGATGACCCAGACGGAGGAACTTGCAAATTCAATCCCAATCACCAGCTGCTCAAGGGCTCCAAGCTTCTGTGATTTATTTATAACGAGGCGTTCCTTTATCTACCCGGGGCCAGGAGGAAACAAAGGAACCGGAGATGGCATCAAGCTCTGACTCCTGACAGCACTGTCTGCGATCACATCGCTACATTGTCAATGAACTTGCCAGCTCCTTGCTCCGTGTGTGCAGTCCTTTCTAAAAGTCCATCTCAGATCAGACGGATCCATGTCACGTTGGAGAATCCTCTCACTTGAACACCACCTTACATGAATGAAATGTTGGCCAGGCCCATGCATGTGTCGAGGCTGGGAACGGCTTGCACTTGAGCGGCATCAAACACAACGAACATCTGCAGGGGCACACCTCTGCTCACACTCTCCTCAGCGCACGCCCGAGGCTGCCCACTGCTCTCTTCCACCAGCTCACTCCGCGACGCAGGTGCCGTTGTCGTCCCCGCACCTCTCCTCCGACAGCGCAAACATCTCCCCAGCCGACATGGCCAGCGCCGCCGCGGCCTGCGCCACCACCTCCCTGTCCAGCTCCCCGCCCTCCAACCGGTTGCGCCAGCGCCGGTACCGCACCGCCAGCTTGTCGTACGACACCGGCGTCTGCCAGGTGTCAGCCCCTCGCAGCATGCGGTCCTGCTGGCCGCGGACGAGCACCAGGTCCTCGCCCAGCACCTGCCCGGCGATGCTGCGCCAGAAGGCAGCGATGCCGGGTACGAAGCGCAACCACCCAGCAAAGTCCATGCTCATGCGGTACAGCAGGCGAGTGTGGCCGGGGCGGCTGGGCAGGCAGACGTGGAGCTGGTGCAGGTGGCGCTTGCACGACTCCGCGCTCAGACCCTGGAGTGGTGAGGGGGCAGGGGTGCTTCTTGGGCGAGGGAATCGACGCGGGACATGGTCGCGCATGAGGGTGAGTAAAGAGTTGCCTATCGATGAGGGAGGGGGGATAGGAGTCGAGCGCATGCGGCGTACTTGCACGGCAAGCCCCAGCCCAACACCGAAAGGAGAGGAGGCGCGACTCAGCAACCCCAGCCTCCAAGGCCATCCTCCAGCTGCAGTCGCCCCAACATCACTCACCCTTTCCACCACGCCTGGGCGCGATAAGCCGATGAGCGACACCACCATGTTTGGCGGGGCGAAGGACATGGTGATGGGGTAGGGCTGCCAGTTGCCCGTTAGCAGCTTGGTGGCCTGGAACTTGACCACGTCTGGGATCTGGGCACGTTTGGAAATAAATTATAGGGATTAGGAGGGGGCCACCCACTACTTTGATGGCTGCAAAGAGTGTGGCTGCCGGTTGCCAGGCACCATGACCCGGCATGGCACAAGAGTATGTGGGTTACTATGCCTCGTCACTGGACCGCTCACACCGGACGAGTTCCATCCCCCCTAAGATTCGGATGCCACGAGCGCTACTCACCCCCCACCCCCCACCCCAATAAACAAAGAGGTTCCCCAGGGCCCCGCCACCTCACCGGCCACCCCTTGGCAAAGGTGCTGGTATGGGTGAAGGGGGCATGCGCCAGGTCCAGCAGGTTCTCCAGCAGCAGGCCGTGCTCCACCGGCACCTCCACCTCGATCTCAGCATGGCAGCGGAAGCCCAGCGGCACGGCCGAGGCGGTGGGCGGCGGGGTGGGCGCCTGCGACCCGGGCCAGACCCACACGAAGCCGTCCACCTCAGTGCACGGCACGCCCCCTGGCCAGTGGGTGGAAAGGGAGGCATCATGAGGTATCAAAGTGGTCAACGCCTGCAGCTCACAGGGCTATGTACCTGCCTGGTGCCTGTCTGTAAGCCAGTCGTACCAAACTTGCTAAACTAGGAACTGAACGACCTCTGTCTCAGAGGTCAACTCTTCACTTGAATTGGAAGCGAGGCCGTGCACTCCTGCATGCCTCTACTCTCACCTGGACTGCGCGATGGGCTTGCAGGGTTGCCAGCAGGCACGCACGCAACGTCCCCACCATCCTGGCGGCGCAGCTCCCACATCTCTCCAAAAAGTTCAAACGAAAGCGTAGAGCCCTGCGTGACAAAGGGGCACGAAAGGCACCTCCTCAATACATCAACAAGGCATGCTTCCAAGGCATGCAGCCCGGCCATACTACGGTACGATCGCCGCGCCGCAGCTGTGTCCAGCATCCAACAGCATCCTCACCGGCTGGAGCTGGCTGCAAAACGCGACGCCATACCAGTGCTCCTTCAGCCCTGGCTCCAGGAACAGGCTGGACTTGAGGCCACGCCGCCGCTTGACCTGCGGAGGCGGGGCTGCCGCATGGCCACCCATGGGTGGTGCTGCATGCGAGGAAGGTCGGGCGAGTGCCCGCTCCTCACTCGTCAAACCAATGGCGGCGGAGCTCGTAAAAGGCAGGGCGATGGGTGGCTCTGGCCGTCCAGGTGTTCCCGCTCCGCTGCCCTGCACTTCACCCAATCCATGCTGGAGCAGGGGTGTGGCTTGGCTTGGCTCGCCCGCCTCAACCAGGTTCCCGCCAGCTACCAGGCCCTGCAGAGCCTCGGCCTCCACCCTCAGGCGCTCCATGGCGGCCATGTTCCTGGCCAGAGCCTCCTGGGTGGCGTCTAGGCGCGCCCGTGCGCTCGCAACCTCCCCCTGCAGCTCCACCATCTGGCGACGCAGTGAGGCCACCCCCGCCCGCTCGCGGTGCTCTTCGCTGAGGATGCGCTGCACGCGGCTGTTGGCCTCCTCGATCACGCTCAGCGTGCACAGCGCGTCGTCCCTGATCACCACGTCGTAAACCATCTCCCAGGCCAGCCGCCTGCGGCGCAGGTAGTCCAGGCGCTGGCGGATGGCGGCCGCGCGCGCGTCGTCGCCGTGCATCAGCCGCTCGTTCATCACCTGCGGTGGGCGCAAGGGAATGAGGTGAAGGAGGGGAGAGGGATCTGGAGCCTGGGATGCCGGTGTATGAGGGAAAGCAAGAGATGGGTTGGACTTTGACGGATGGTCAGTGCAGCCCCCCTCCTCGCCCCTCCCCCTCCGCAGCCCCTACCGCGAGATCTGCCAGCTGATCCCGTGCCCTGTCGCGCGCCTTTCGCACTCGCACGCGAGGGGCCGTGTCCACAATCGACTGCAGCAGGTAGGGCTTCCCATATCGCGCACCGTATCTGCATGGCGAACGTCAAGGGCTAAGTAAGGTGGAGGCGGGTGAGGCGCCCGCGCATGCAAACGGCACGGGAAGGCCATGCAGGGTCCTCACACAGCGGGCATCACCTTCGTAGCTGGTTCTCGGGATCCTGGAACTGCTCATGCTCTGCAGATGATGCGACGTAGATCCTCGTTCGGTTGGGCCCGCCGGGAAGGCGACCGGGTGTTGAACGTCGAGGAGACCATGTCACGCACGAAACCATGCTGACACTGACCATCACCGGGCTGCACCGAGGAGCTCAACAAACACTCGAAATAGTAAAATTGGGTGTGATTAAGTCTGCAAGCAGAGACTTCTGACGGTGGTTGGCCCAGGGTACAGCAGGCCCAAGCGCAGGAGAATCCCATCCGATTTGGATTTTCCTTGCTCAGGAGGGCGCGCGAGCCCTTCAAGCTCCCACACTCGCCGAGGTGGCCTGCGGGAAGCCCGAGCAGGGGCGCACCAGAGGATCGCGGTCGAAGATTGGCGGACGTTTGCCGGGCTAGACCTCGGAGCAGGCCTCCAAAGTCAAAAGTTTTTGCAGTGCAGCTGCCGAGATCACTTCCTGGCCGGCTTTAACACCATGGAGGGGTCCCGATCCTACCCATCACGGCAGCAGGAAATCCCACCAAACCGATGAAATTAGTCTGAAAAAGCGGGAGCAAATGCTGCTCCGCGTGGTGCTGAGCGCATGTGAGTCGTGTGCTGCTTTTTCATTGCTGCCTGTGGCCACCTTCCTCCCCCTCTTCCCCCACCGACTTCCCCACGCCCGTCCATGCAGCCCTGGGAGGGTTCCTGTTCGGCTATGACCTCGGTCTTATGGTGGGGTAGATGTCGGTCTAGGGTGTACCTGTGGCCGTCTTCATGGACACCCCAGCCAGCCTCGTCATACCCAAAATCTACATGCATGGCTACCTGGACCACAGACCTTCCTGCCCACCCTTTCACACGCTCTCCCGCCCTGCCTGGCCCACCCCACTGCTCCAGGGCGGCGCCATACTGGCCATCCGGGAGGCACTGGGCACCGGCACCGCCACCGAGGAGCTGATCATGGCCGGGGCCAAGCTGGGCGCCGTGTTCGGAACCTTCCTGGGCGGCGCGGTGATGCTGCACTGGGGCCGGCGCGCCGCCCTGGCGGCGGACGGCGTCTTCTTCGTCGTCGGGCCCCTGGCCATGGCGCTGTCCCCCGGCGTGGCCGGCCTCGTCGCCGGCCGTGTGGTGGTCGGCCTGGGCATCGGCATGTCGGCCGTGGCGGTGCCGGCCTACCTGGGCGAGCTGGCCCCCGCCGCCCACCGAGGGGCCACGGTGGAGGTGTACGAGCTGCTGCTCACCGTCGGCGCCCTCACGGCCGTGGTGGTGGACGCGGGGTTGCACCATGTTCCCCACAACTGGCGATGGATGGTGGGCGCACCCCTCGGCCCCGCCCTGGCCCTGGGAGGTGGGTGGGCAGTGGAAGGGAAGAAGAATGGAGGGGGGGGGTAGTAGAGGGAGGGGATGATCGACATTCGGTGTGTGGGCGCAGCCGCCTACAGCACAATTTGGAGCGGCTCGTGCGGCATGGCAAGGGGAGCAGCGCGATCTCCACCCTGCTCCAGCCCGGCAGCGAGTCCTGAAGCTTTCCTCACTTGGTAAGAACCCAACTCCCCCACTCAATCCCCTGGTCCAGGCTGCGCGATTCTGCTGCCAGAGTCACCCCGCTGGCTGGTGATCCGGGGCCGGCTGGATGCCGCCCTGGCCGTCATCCACAGAATCTTCACGAAGCAAGCGCTGACACCAGGCACGGGGAGGAGGGGGACACTCAGCGCCTGGGCCTGACAGGCAGTCAGCTGCAGCAAGCACAGGGCACTGACATGCTCGCCGGCGCGCGTGATAAACCCTCAATGGGATGCTCATGATTGCATGCACCCTAACCCTCGTGGTTGCAGGCCTGCAGACCTCCACGGCCGAGGTGGAGGCGGAGCTCATGGCGCTTTGGTCCGCCGTCGAGAAGGAAAGGACGGAGGTGACGGCGCGGCGGGAGCGGCACGCTGCCGCTCGCGAGACGCGGGCCGCCCCCATTGCACAGGTGGGTACCTGGCTGGGCTGCAAGTCCCTGCTCCACAGACACTCGGCAGCGCAGGCTGTATGGCCCAGCGCGCCTGGTCATAGCCTTGAGGTTAATGATACCGACAAGTGTGACCAGATGCCACTGCCGGGAAGCAATGCCCTTTCTCAACCGGCCACCCCCCAAACTGGCATTCCCTACCATTAATGTGATGCTCTGCACCATGTGACTAATCCCCCAGTTCATACTCAGGTCGATGTCGAGGCGGAGGCCGGCTCTTCGCCCAGCCACTCCAAGTGGCTGCCGCTGCAGGGGGCTGACCCGGCAGAGGTGGATCTGGGCCACACCAAGCTCCTGCAGGAGGGCCAAGAGAGCAGCAGCTTCGTGTCTCCGACGGAGGACCTGCGGTGCGAGCAGGCTGCCCTCAACCCCAGTACCGCCATCGAGGTGGACGAGGGCAGCCTGGTGGTCGACGCAGACGGGCAGCCGCCGGGCTTCCTACGCGTCTCTGCCGACATGTTTCTGGATGTGTGGCTCCTGCCCAGGTCGGGTCAGGGGCGTGGGGAGGAGAGGGGGTAATGCCAGGGCTGGGCGCCTGCCACCCCTCACGGCCGCACTCCAGCATGCCCCGTGCCGCACACTGCCAGGGCGCTGCCAGTGCAACCCCAAGCAGCCCAAGGCTTTAATGCGCTACTCTGGAGCAGCACTGCACTCCACCTTTCCCTCCCTCCCAACACCTTCCCATCACCGACAGAGGCCCAGACCGCCGCGCCTTCCACCTCGCGCTGTGCCTCGCCTTCTTCAACCAGGCCGTGGCATCCACCGCCATCATCAACTACGCGCCCTCCCTGCTCGCCAGCGCGGGCCTGGCACCCGCCCGCGCCACCCTCGCCTCGGCCGCCGTGTCGGCGTGCAAGCTGGTGGGCGTGGTGGTGGGCCTGGTGCTGGTGGACCGCGCCGGCCGGCGCCGGCTGCTGCTCACGGGCTCCGTGCTGTGCACGCTATCGCTCGCCTGGCTGGCGGTGGCGGACGCGGTTGGCAGCGTCGGACTGCTGCTGGCGGGCATGTGCCTCTTCGTGCTGAGCCACAGGTGAGGGCGAGGGAAAAGGGCGAGCGTGGATTTTCCGTACCGGGATGTGGTTGGGGTGGAGGGTTACCTGCCTGAAGACGCCACAGGTTATCGCACTCGCCACCGGAATGATTATGATGCCCCACCTCTCCCTCTCCACACCACCCTTCAGTGCTTCCTGGGCGGGAGTCTTCTGGGTGCTCCTATCCGAACTCTTCTCCATGGCGGCCAAGAGCCCGGCGACGTCGGCCGCCACCGCCACCCTCTTTGCGACTGGGGCCGCCAGCGACGCGCTCTTCCTCTCCTTGCGTGACTGGCTGGGGCCGGGTGCCTTTGCAATGTACGCCTGCATCGCGGCGGCTGGGGGGGTGTATGTCATGGCCAAGGTGCCTGAGACATCCGGCAGGACCTTGGAGGAGATCCAGGCGCTGCTGGCGGGGGGCCGGCGCGACCTGGAGCTCACCGCTGGGTCTGGCTGACACAGGAACCTCAGGGTATGTAGATGCCACTCATCGAGACAAAGATACTCCACCCACTCGCGCTGCCTGCCTGCCAGCATTGCAGCTTGTCTGACAATTGGACACTACAGCACCCATCGGGTAAGGACCATCCCTGCTGGCCCACCCTCCCCTGCTGAATTCCACAAGTTCCATCCCCTGGCACTGGACCTCTTGTCTCAATACCTCTGTACCGATCAATGCTGTACCCCATTTCCCTCTCCCTCCTCATGATGCACATTGCAAGTTTTGATGAAGCAGGTCCACAAGCGGGTCGTGTAGGGTGGTGTCATGCAAGCAGGGGTTCTGGAAGGATCAGCATTGGTTCTGGCCAGTCTTGGTATATGTCAACATCGACGTGCAGTGTTGGAGAATGGTGAGTCCGGGTCTCAGCGCCTGTCACACCAGGACGGGGCTGGCGGCATGGGCGGGCGAGACCGAGGTGGTCTGCAGGGACCCCCCCGGCGTCGTCCCGGTGGATCCGGTGGCAGGTGGGGGCGGCGGCGGGCTGGCCACCCCCTCACCCGCCAGGGTCGTGCTGGTGGGCGAGGACGGCGAGGGGGAGGCACTGCCGTCCGAGGCGGAGCACAGGGAGGAGCACAAGGACCCTGCCTGCACGCTGCTCAGCCCTTCCACATCCACATCCTCGTCGGCCAGCGAGATTTGCAGGCCCTACGTGTCGTGCGTGCGTGTGGGAGGGGGAGCGTGACCGGCTGAATCATCTTAAATCTGGGCAATGGTAATCGGTCTCTGACCGCTGCATGCTCCTTCACCGTCCTGTTTTCTTGCTATCAAAAACGGGAAACATGCCTGCATCACACACCCACTGGCCCTTGTAGTAAACGAACCCCTAACACCCACACAGATGCTGCCCCCCCCTCCCGGACCCCTTTTCAGAAACTCACAGTGGGGCACTGGATGAAGCCCTCGCCGGCGCTGCTCTGGCCAAAGCCGCAGCCGTTGTACCAGTAGGTGGGGCTGGGGGCGCAGGTCCACCACTGGAGGGGGGCGCAGGACAGCTTCACGCAGGCCTCCCCGCAGGTGGTCCCCACGCTGGTGTCCAGACCCACGCCCAGCGCGCCCGCCACCGCGCCGCCCACCAGCAGGGCCGCGGCAAGGGCAATGGCCACGACGCGGAGCCAGGAGCTGTTGTGCTTGGACATCACCTGGGGAGGTAATTTTATTTTTGGGGGTTGTCAACCCGAGTTTGCACACCCGTTGCAGCACATGGTGTTGCATCCCCCCGCCCTGTTGGGCGGCCAACTATTGACCTCATCCCGCTCCCGCTCACCAAACCCATGCCCACCGTCTGGAGGCCCAGGATGACGCCGGAGAGCGTCGCCCCCGCCGCAAAAGCCGCCGCAAGGTACCAGAAGCTCTGCATGGGGAGGACGCTCAGTGTGCCCAGCACGCCCGTCACGATGAATAGGACTAGGTAGGAGACGGCGTGCAGCTGGTAGCGCGAGAAGTTGACCGACTGCTCCACCCACATGGCGGCTGTGTGTGAGATGGAGTGGGGGAGTGTGGGTATATGGGCAGGGTTGGGCGTGGTTGAGAGGGATGACTATGGGGTACTGCACGACAGGTCAAGATCCCCGTCCACCGACGTCAAACAGGCATTCCTTTCTTGTCCTGGCGGAGGCAGTCCACGTCACCCCTTGCCTCCCCATAGGCCAAGGGATATGCGACTTGCAGCGATTCCCCCAACACACATGACCAATGCGAAGAATTCTCCCCCCCCCACTCGCGCGCCCCTTTCCTATCACCACTCCACCCCCCCCTTCCACACACCAAGCAGGGCAGCGACCCCGGCCGAGGCGCCGCTGGACACGTAGTAGACGTTCAGGTTGGCATCCGTCACCGCCCCGCACCAGGACCCCACCAGGAAGATGGCGGGGATGGTTACGGGGGGCAGCGGCAGCGTCCGGTCCAGGTACCGCACAAAGGTGGAGAGCAGCATGACGTTTGGCACCAGCTGGATGATGCCTGCGGGTGTGTGTGGGGGTTAAGGGTGGTGTGCATGTGTGATGTGTTGCCGGGGACCCCCCCCCAGCCAACGCCTCACACTCCCCGACCTCTCACGCCCTCCCCCTCACCCGCCGGCACAAAGGGGGAGGTGAGAACGCGCCAGCCCTGGCCACGCGAGGCCACGTAGCCGTGAGACTGCGCGCCGACTGCCAGCAGGGCGCGAGGGTTGGCCCCCGCCCAGGGGTTGACCGCCAGGTCAGCCAGGCTCCAGCCCGCCTGCCAGACGGAGAGGATGTAGAGCGTGATCCACACCGACACCAGCAGCACCACCTGGCAGGTGACCACGGCGCGGCCCAGCGGGCCGTGCCGCCGTGCCGGCAGCGGGTCGAAGAAGGGTGCGCTGGGCTCGCGCGGCGCGGGCATGGGGATCAGCGCCACGCCGCCGCCCTGGCTCTGCGCGCTGGCGTACGGGTCAGAGGCTGGCGGGGCGGCGGAGTAGGAGGAAAGCAGGGCCGGGTCGGGGCCTGGGCCGGCCAGCGAGCGCAGCGACCCGTGCGACCCGGCGATGGAGAGCTGGGAGGCAGTGACCGCCCGCGACCCGGCCGCGGCGGCGGCCGCGGCGGCCGCCGACACGGCCGCCGCGGCGGTGCTGGCGGCCACCATGTGCCGCTCCTGCTCCTCGCGCTGGCGCCGCAGCGCCTCCTCGCGCAGGTCGGTGCCCGGCGGGGTCGAGGCGGCCATCTCCATGAAGTCGTCGGTGCGGTCCACGGTGGCTGGCTTCAGGCCCCCAGACTCGTCCTGGGGGTGTGTGAGATGGGTGGATGAGAGTGAGAAGAGGGCCAATGGGACGGGAATCTGCGCCCTGCAGGACCAACCCTGACCCTCGTCGACGCTGGTCCAGACAGAGCACACGGCTGCAACCGGGCCCCTCCACCTACCAAGAGCCAGGGCGCCCGGCGCGCGGCCCACTCCTCGATGCTCTGGCGCAGCACCAGGTTGGGGGCCATGCTCACAGGCGTCGGCAGCTCGACCCCTGTGATGGGGCACTTGGTGTGGCCCTCCGACAGCCAGCGCTCGATGCTGGGATGGTCGTACCTGAGGGGATGGGTACACGAGCAGGATGGTTGGATGGCTGCACCGTGTGGTCTGGGGCGTGGGGTGCAAAAGGGCAGACGGTGTGGGCGGGGGGATTCCCGGCACGCAGACGCCCATCCCCCCTCCAATGGCTACCCACACCCCAGGCCTCGCACGTCTGGCCGGTGGAAAGGACGACGGGGTCCCGCATGATGTGCATGGCAATGGGGCAGAAGAAGTGCTGCGGGGCAGAGGCCTCCACCTTTGCCCGCATGTCGATCTTGGCAGGGGCTGGGAGAGGGAGGAGGAAGTGGGGAGTGGGGGTGAGAAGAGCACCGCCTTTACCCTCACAGGGCATGGGGGTGGTCCAGGCAGAAGGCCGCCAGCCAGGCTCGGTGTGCAGGATGGGGAGCCGCCCCGTCCTTTGGACACCACATACCAGTACTTGGGAGGGACTGCTCGACGCTTGCTGGAGGCAGGGGGGGGTACCTGTGACACAGAGTGGCATCCGTGTAAGGCTGCATCTCACAGAGTTTTGAACGTCCTGTGTGCAGACAGAGGTGTGGGTGCCCTTCTGAAGCCCCTCGCAACGCCCCCACCATCTCATCTCCACGCACCCCATTTGGAGCATCCACGCCCTTGCCAAGGCATGATCGCCATTGGCGGTGCGCAGGAGCTCCTGGTACAGCTCCTGTGCACCTGCAGTGTTGCGGTGGGACGGCCGGGCTGACACTCGGTGCCGGGTGAGCCGTGCCACATCACGAAGTGATCACAGGACCGGAGCAACAATAACCTACCTTGAGGCATTATGGCAGTGCCCCCTTTATCGAAGAAGGGCCCGCGAATTCAGAAGGCGACGGGGAGCCCCAGCCCGGCACTCGTCGAACGTGTCAGAACCAACTGAGCATCCCCGAGGTAGCCAATACGTCTTTAGCTTTGAGAGTTCTTTTACACAACAATACGGCGGACACGGAGGGACGTATGGGTCGGGAGTGATAGGCTCGGGGTTCGCGACGTCCTCCCTGCCCAGCTGCCTCGATGGTAGGAAACCATCTACGCAGTCAGTATTACCAAGAGCGAACCTCGAATTGACAAAGTCTGGAAACTCCCTTCCATGAACTGTTCGGTCTCTGCCTCGCTTCATTCAACGGTAAATCTCCTTCTTAACAAACTAGAAGATATCCAGGGGCAACAAGGAGGCAGGCACGCACCACTCACTCCAGCTGGCACAGCCCCTCCACCCCCACTACCATCCTCTCCTCCCGGCTGGACAGGTCCTTGACCTTGATTTCCCCCCTGGCCCACTCCTCGGGCGCCAGCAGGACCAGCCTCGCTGCCCCGCACCGCTCCGCATGCTGAGTCGTGAAGAGGGAAGGGGGGAGCTCCGCTGGGCACCAGCGCTGGCACAGCGCCAGACTCACGGGCATGCACACACGCCATGCAGGACCCGGGCCACCCCATCCCCAGTGGCTGCTTCAATGCAGCGTCCCCAGAATCGCACCCATCTCTGCCACCACCACACTCCGTCACCCCGTTCCCCCTTACCTTGAGCACCCACTTCATGCGCTTGGGCTCCAGCACCAGCTCCACGCTCCTGCCCTTGGCCCTCAGCGCGGCGGCGGCGGCGCAGGCCTGGGGCCGCAGTGATTCTTCCAGCGCGTGCACCACGTCGTCCACTCGCCGGCCCAGGTCCGGGAGCAGGCCGCGGTCGCGCAGAAGCTCCACGATCACCGCGTCGCCGAAGCCGAACCCGGCGCAGGGCAGGTCGGCGCCGCCCAGCGAGGAGAGCAGACGATCGTAGCGGCCGCCGCCGCAGACGGCGCGCAGCGCGCCCGCGCGGTCAAACCCTTCGAACACGATGCCCGTGTAGTAGGCCAGGCCGCGGACCACGCCCGCGTCAAAGTGCAGCCAGTCGGCGATGCCGTAGGCGGCTGCCAGGTCGAAGAGGACCACCAGGTCGCGCGCCGCGGGCGAGTCCGGGGGCAGGACCTCGGACAGGGCGCCCACGTCGCGAATGCGTAGCGTGCGCAGCAGTGCGTCGATCGCGGCTGGGGGCACGCGCAGCGCGCCCAGTTCCGCCTCTACCGCCGCGATGGGGAGCTTGTCGGCGCGGTCCACGGCCACGTAGATGGCTGGGTGCGCCGCCGCCGGCACGCCCGCGCCCTCCAGCACCGCGCCCAGCAGCGCGCGCGTGGACACGCGGATGCCGACGTCGGCGGGGCCGAGGCCGACGCGGCGGAAGAAGGCCACCAGCGCGGCCAGGAGCTCGGCCTCGGCCTCCACGCCGGCCACGCCCACCACGTCCAGGTTCCACTGGTAGTGCTCGCGCCGACGGCCGCGCGTACTGCGCTCGTACCGCCAGCACTGCCCCACCGCGGCCCACTTGAGGGGGAGCGGGCGCCCGGCGCCGGCCGAGAGCACCAGCCGCGCCAGGGAGGGCGTCAGCTCGGGGCGCAGGGCCACCCGCCGCCCACCCTTGTCCTGTGCATTGAGGGGCATGGAGGAGGAATGGGGGGCTGGGTGGGAGTGGCAATGGGAATGTAGATCAGGTGTATGCGTAGGGCGGGTCTCCGAGGGGCTGGCCACACGTGAGAACCCATTGGGAAGCCTAACCCCCCACCCACTTGAAACAAACAAAACAACCCCGCCCCCACCCCCTTATAACATGCCTCAAAGTTGTACAGCTGGTCCACGATCTCCTCGCCGGCCTTGCGGATGAAGAGCGCCTCAGACTCCAGGACGGGGTAGTCCACCATCTCGAAGCCGAAGCTCTGGGTGACGGCGGCGAAGTGGTCGAAAAGCCAGGCCTGCAACCGCTTGTCCTCGGGGGGGAAGTCACGCGTGCCTGCGGACGGGTGTGCATGGGGTTGGTGACGCCCCCAAAGGCCCATCCGCTGGGCTTGATGTGGGTTTGCATGCTCTTGCACGAGCCCAGCCTTCACATGTTGAACCTTCAAGGAGCCATCAACAACCCCCAACCTTTTACCTCTGGGAGGCCTCAGGTCTATGACCTCCTTTTGAGCCGTGGGCTGATGGGCGGCGGCAACGCTCCTCCTCCCCTGCGTGTGCGGTGGCATGGCGTGCCCTGCATGAGCCGGCCAGGCCTGCCAGCCCAGGGGTTCATGCACCATGCACACCACATGGAGGCCCGCCGTCGCATGATACAACATGCTCCTTAACACCACCTGCTGGGTGGGATGTTCTGCCTGGACCGCACTCGGCGCAGGCGCCGCATCGTTGCTCTGACACCTCCGGGAGGTGCTGGCCAGGAGGGTGGGTGTCACGAGGCATGGCGCGCGGACACCCAGGCTCTGGAGACCGGACCACACCGCTCGATGTTGGACCACCACCGAGCAGCGCAAGCTACCAATCATGTCCGCACAACAATGGACATGTGCTGCACGCCGGCTCCGGAGCAGTAGACGTCGACAAGGGGCGTATTGGGTGGTCGGACAGGATTGGCCGTCGACTAAGCCATGCTCGCATCCATTGCGTATTGGGTGTGCATTTAGTTGTGAATGGATGTCATATATTTCACAGTATGCCTCCAGGGGTGTCTGGCATTTTATGGTGCAACCATGCGTGCGGATTGAATTCGGGATGCCCTACCACGTGCGCCCTCCCCAAATTGTCAATTTCCCGGGGTGCCCCTCGCGCCCACTTTTGCGTTGATCTGCATCGCGCAGTTTATTACTTTCATCATTGTGACGCTGTAGTTCCACTTCTTCGGATGTAACCGGGCGTGGTGCTACAGATCATATTGGCGCATTGCTCATACTCCTCCCAGAGCGATCCAAGCCATAATGTGCCAGCAGACCTGTATATTAGCAGTTCACGTTGACTGAGTGAGGTTCAGAATCAAGCGACTTGATTACACATGTGCGAATGTGGATATGTCCTGCTCAATCACTGGTGTCCATCATCGGCCCACAGTCCAATGCCTGTTCCCATAGCCCCATTTCCCTAAAAAAAGTGACAGGACCGCCCCTTGCCTCTCAATAAAATATCAAGCAGTGGTGTGATGAGCACAAGTGTTCCTTATGGCCCACGCTGGCAATTCGTCATAGGAGTCTTGGAGCGCCGATGGTCTTTTGGCGGGAAACCCCGGCAGCTACGGACAGATGCCCATTTCGAAACACCGGGAGGTCGGACGAAGACGCGATGCAATACGTTTGAGGGGCATCATCCTAGCTCGCGATCCCTCAATGAACGTTCATCTCGCGTGCTCCGGACCCTGAGATGGCGCCAGGCGCCCAAGATCCGGAGAATACTTCGGCCATGCTTAACTCCTCGCACGGCACTCGGACGGTGAGGTCCTTGGTGTAAACGATTCCTCATCGGCGATGTAATATCGCGTCTTAACACTTGACTACCCCACGTTGGCCACAGTACATGGAGCGGCTGAAGATGCTGCAGCAGCTGGGCGGGACCCGAAAGAGTGGCCCACCCGCAATCCAGCATGCGCCTGACAGCCCATCGCCCCTCAGGTGATGCACCGGCTTCACGGGCAAGAACGAGATGAGCTGGCTTCGCAAGTACCGCACCGGGCGTGATTGAAGTCCCGCTGAGCCCCTGCATGCCCTTTCCCCTACAGCGAGACCCGCTCAGCACCGAGCACCCAAGCGCCGGGCGCTCAGACCGTGGCGCCCAAGGGACAGGCTCCTTCGCCCCGCTCCCAGGGGCCCACCCACTCCACCCTGGACGAGCTCGCAGAGCAGCTGGAGTCGGAGCTGCAGCTGTGCGACATCAGCCTGAACCAACTAATCCGCGGCTCCAAGATGGCCGCCTCTACAAGGGGCACATCATCGTCGCCCGCCCTCCGCGCCTCCAGCGCCTCAACGCAGTACGCCGCGGCCTCCAGCCGGACCCAGCCCCTGCCCGCGCTGTCCCCCCGCAAGTCCGCAGCTGCCGCGAATAAGACGATTGCAGTGGCGCCCGCCCCCACCGACACCTCCCTCGTGAAGCGGCTCGTCACGGCGACGGGCCAGGGGTGCCAGGCGATCCTGGCGCCGGACCTGTCCCGCCAGCCCATCCCCGGCGTCTGCTGGACCACCAGGTGCGAGTGCGGGCTGGAGGTGTCAGGTAGTGACATGGAACAGTGCCAGTGCATGGCTACTGAGCTGAAGCCTGTGTCCGACTTGGGCGGGACTGCCCTCCCACAGCCCTGCCGCCATCTGCCCACACCACTCCTGTCCCCGTTTCATATTCCCAATGCCCTCAGGACGAGCCGCGGAGGCACGCCCCGCAGCTCCTGCACCCTGCTGCTCAAGCACGCTGCCAGCACCGACCTGCTGGTGCGCCTGACGGCAGCGGAGGGCGCCAGCGTGCCGCGCCGTGTCCTGCTCTCCACCGCGCCCAAGCCTTCGGCCCGGTTCGAGGTGCTGGGGGAGGTGGAGCTTGCCGCGGGCTCCGCGCGGCACCTGCGCCACGTCTTCCGCCTGGCGCCGGGGACGATCGCGGGGCGGTGCCTGAGGCTGGACCTGGTGGGACACCAGGAGGAAGGCACGGCGGGGCGGGGCGCGGGCGGGGTGCGAGCATCCGCTTCAGGCCTGAGCGGCGCTCCCGGGACCAAAGGTGAGGGGGTAGTTTGGCGGGTACCGGAGCAACAATTTCAAGGGGCTGCTGTGAGTCGCGTTTACGGGAGCGCTCCGACCCACCAGGAACCCTGCATCCCCGCTGGCTGCAGGGGGCCTGCCGGCGCACAGGATCACCAACCTCCTGGTGACAGGCCGCAGCATCGACAGCCCCGGCCCAGCGACCGGGGAAGCGGGCATCGTGCCCCTGCAGGCCCAGGCGCGCGCCTCCGACGACGCCCCCTCCTTCTTCTCCTGCGCCGGCCTCGCCACCGGCCCTACCTCTGCGCTGAGTCAGCGCTCGCGCGATGAGGCGAGCGTGGTGGGGACGCCGCGCGCGGCGGCGCGCGACCATGGCAAAGAGCCCCCGCGCACGCCAGCGGCGGCCTCCGGGACCGAGGGCGGCCAGGAGGACGACGACAGCGTGCTGACCGGATCCCCCCTGCCCAGGGCGCACCAGGCGGCGGGCCGCGGGACCAAATTTGGGGGTGGCGTGGCGCAGCGCGTGCTGGCCGAGGAGCTGGAGGGCGAGGACCGCGGGGAGCGTCGGATGCAGGGCGCCGCAGAGTGGGGCGATCCGGAGCTGTTGGAGGAGGCCTCGGCGCTGTCCGCGCCAGGGACGGCCGGGGCGCCCAATGAGCAGCAGGCCCACGACGCATGCCTGGACAGGGCCTGGCGCCACTTCGAGACGCGCGCCGCAGACGTGGCGCGCGGCGCGTCGGCCCTGGTCAGGGCCGGGCGCGAGGTGCAGGACTGCACGGGTCTGGCCTGGATCGCGGGCGCGGCTCGCGGCGCCGCCGGGTTTCTCTTCCGACAGGGCGGCGCCGGCGCAGCGGAGGCTGTGGCGGCCCTGCTCAAGCTCCGCGCCATCAAGTCCACGCGCCCAGGGTGAGGCCCTGGAGGGAGGGCTGCCGGCACATGGGAAGGGGGACGGTGGGCACTCGACACGCCCGTGCGCCACGCCCCTGACGCCTGGCAGAGGTCGCCCGCCAGATCTTGTGCACTCACATTACCCCCCAAACCACGCCCAGGTGCTCCACCCTCCTGCACTTCCTGGCACGCGAGGCGGCCAGCGCGAGTGGCGCCGAACCCCGCACGCTGGTCGGCCAGCTGGGGCACTGCCGCGAGGCCGCAGACGTCGACCCGGCCGACCTCCAGGCTGGCGTGCAGGCTCTCCGCGACTTGCTCGAGGAGGAGGTGTGCGGGGGGTGCAGGAAGGAAGGCGGCTGGAGATGGTGCATCTTGCTTCGTGCGGGATCACAGCGGCGGGGCTGGAGGGGTTCCTACTTCTGAAGGAACGAGACGGGGGCTGAAGACATCGGCTGGTGTTCCCATCTGGCAACCCACACGCCAAAGCCCTGTGGCACCACGGATCTCCCATTCCCGGAACCTTTCCTCCCTTCCCCCACACCGGACCAGGTGGTCGCCGCCCTGCATGCCGCCGAGCCGTGCTCGCGAGCGCACGAGGAGTGGCGCGCTTTCCGATCGGATGCCAGCGAGGCGCTGGCTGAGCTGGAGGCCAGCGTCGCCAAGGCCCTCCTGGCATACAGGTGGGTAGCATGGGGTTGTGTTTTGGGTGGAGTGCTCAAGGGCTCTGGCCCTGTGTGGGAAGCCCTGCACTGCCCCAAGACTCTTTGCCTGTGCTCCACCGGAAAATCCCCCAACTTCCGCACACAAACAAACCACACATTTCCATGCACAGGGACGCGTGCGAGACGATTGCGGGGGGCGCCTCCGCGTCTGCCCCGCCCGCGCCGGCCTCCTTCTTCCCTGCCCTGTTGGAATTCGCGGGCGAGGCGGACGCCGCGCTGGCCGAGTGCCTGGCGGGGGCCTCCCAGGCCGGCTCCAGGGGCCCCGGCAAGGCCTCCGCCGCGTCCAGCGCTGCCTCGCTCCGTCAGACGGTCTGGGCATCGCGCGGCGTCGTCTCCTCGGCAGCCAGCGCCGCGCGGTCCGGCGGCGCCAGCCGCGGCTCGCGCAAGCGGCCCGCCTCGCGCGACCTCAGCGCGCCCAGCGCCAGCGTGTCCCTGGAGGGAGGCATCGGGGGCCCTGGCGATGACGGTGCCTTGGGACAGACAGGGTCAGCTGTTGCGGCGCTCACTGGCGCCGCATCGTCTGGCGGCCCCCCACACTCAGCCCTGGGATCGGCCACGCTGTCGCCCCATGTCGCCGCGCTACTGGCGGAGTCGGACCGCCTGCTCCGCTTCTCGCTGGGGGGCCGAGGTGGGGAGACCGAGGAAGAGGAGCGAGATTGCCCGACTGGCAGGCAGGCGATTGATCGAGATGTGATGCGCAGTCAGGCGATGGGGTCCATCCACGCCACCCAGCCTACCCGCAGACCCGGCGACGGCACCCGCCCCATCGACGCCGGGCCGAGCAAGGAGCCGGGGCGCACGGCGTCCCCTGGGCACGGCCGCCCAGGCCGCCCTTCCCCGGACATCTCCTTCCTGGCGCCTGGCTACTCCCTGCGCGGCAGCTGCGACGAAGCCGCAAGCAGAGATTCAGCCAGGAGCACGCCACCCTGCCGCACGTACGGTGGGATTGCGCCGAGTGGCAGCCGCACGCCCAACGGGCATCTGGCCACGGCGGCCCCGGAGCCGCTGCCAGGACGCGAAGCGGGCGCCGAAAGCAGAGGCCTGCACCCACCGGCTATACCTGGATCATCGCCATCCGAGGTCCACCCCTGTGAACCCCAGGATCCGGAGGACCCTCTGCCGGAGCCCAGTGCTTTGAACAACAATCGCAGCGGCAGCGAAGACATCCGCCGCGACCCTGCATCGTCGCAGCGGTGTGAGATCGGGCCTCACACTGGCACCCACAGCCCGCCCCCGACCCGGGACCCGGCGCCGCACGGCGGCCGCGACACGTGGCAGCGCTCGAGCGCCGCAGCCCTGGCGGGCATCGACATGGCTCGGGTGTCGGCCCTGCTGGGCGCCGCGCGCCAGGTGGCGCAGCGCCACGCGGGCGGCGGGGGAAGCGGGCCCGGCGCCTGCCCGCCCGCCGGCGCGCAGTCGGGCAGCGAGGTCACGCTGCCCGGCCAGCTCTGCGCGGAGTCCAGCCTGCCCGAGGTGGCCTCGGCCGGCGCGGGGCGGGGATCCTACGAGGCGCGGGGGTCGGTGGAGGCAGGACATGCGCAGGGAGGCAGAGCGACGACCGACGACACGGGCCGGGCGCTGAGCGGCGCGCTGCTGCGTGCGACCATGCTGCGCGCCAGCCTGGCCGCGGCGCGCGCGTCGTGCGGCGCCGGCGACGCCCCGCCGCCCGACGCCGCGGCGGCTCGGCCCCGACGGGAACCGCGCGCCAGCCACGACTGGCGCAGCCTGGCGGCGCTGCCGCCCCTGGCCCCCGTCTCCGACCTGGGCGTGGCCGCCGCGCTGGCCTCGGCGGGGAACAGCCCCAGCGGGCCGCTGGTGCGGGGCCTGCGGGCGGGGGCCTTCGCCGCGCGCCTGCCCTCGGGCCTGGCCCCGCCGCCCTGCTGCCGCGGCGGCGGCGACGACGCCGCCGGCGGGGACGCGCCCCTGCGCCTGCTGGAGCCCATCATGCCCGCGCCGCTGGGCCTGGGCGCCAGGACGGGGCTGGCCCGATCCCTGGACGCCTGGCCGCGGTCGCTGCTGCCGCCGCGGGCGCAGGTTGAGGGGGCTTGACTGGCACGACGCGACCCCTTCCAATCTTTTCGCGAGTATTGCACCCGTGAACGCCATGACCTGAAGCTGCCGAGCCTTGACGCATTGCCCTGACAGGGTCACGCCCTGGGACACCTATAACACGGTCCCATCCCCCCCAGGACAGCTCACCTGCGGGTTTCGTACGGTATGCCGGGGGCGCGCTGAAAACGCCCGATTCTTCCTGGGCGCGATGCTGCCGATCAGGTGCTTTTACGACAACAAAACGCATCGATGCATCCCGCGATGCTCATTACACCGCACGCACAACGCATGCAGCTGTCCGCATCGGCCGCCGCAGCGTCATTCCTGCCCATCTGGCAGGGCGGCCGCATGCGCCCTGCGCTCATTCTCAGGAGGAGTGTGCGGACATTCTCGGGCATGGCAGGTGGACCGATCGAGATCTCCATCAAGGAGTACGTCAACGAGGGTCCTGCATTGATACGCTCTGCATCTTGTGGATCCTGTCTCGCGCCGGTGATGGTCATGCATGAATAGTCCGTCGGAAAAGCAAAGCCCTTGCCGTGCCCCGTGCAGGAAGCTCACGGCTGGGCTCCAGCCCGTCACCCTCAAGCTGACCAACGAGAGCCACAAGCATGCGGGCCACACAGGAAACCCCACAGGCGCCCCTGATGCAGAAACTCACTTCAAGTGGGTGTTGGAGCTGGGGGGTGATTTTTGGGGGATGGAACCAACTCTGCCTGTCCTTGAACCTAACCCATCTCCATGCCACGCCCTGCCCGCGCAGCGTGGAGATCGTGTCGGAGGCCTTCCAGGGCAAACCCCTGGTGGCGAGGCACCGGCTGGTGTACACCCTGCTGAAGGAGGAGCTGGATGCGGGGCTGCATGCCCTGGCCCTGAAGACCAAGACCCCCTCGGAGGTGGCACGATGACTTCTCATTCCCACCAGGGTATAGGCTCAAGCCCAGGTGACGGGTTGCTTTCTCTTGTTAACCCTCCTTGCTCGGTCAGCATTGACAAAATCTCAGCCGGGAGGTGGAGGCAACAGGAGGCGCTTGGGCTGACGCCGTGCAGCAGGGACCGAGGGAGGGTCCATGCACACCGCGTGCTGCATCAGCGATGACCACAAGGGCACACCCAAGAGAGCAGGGACGCAGGAGCAGACAGAGAAGGTGTGTGTGTACGGATTCGATTTAGAGAGAACTCGGCGGCCCAAGTGAGGAGCGTAAGCGGTGAGGGAGCACTGGGACAGCAAAGGTGGCACACGAATAGCCGGCCCAGCCCCGCCCGCACGCATCAGATGCGGGTGCCTGCCTTGATGGTGGCGTTGCGGGCCACCACCACGATGCCAGAGCGGATGAAGTAGCCCTCCTCCTCCCGCGAAGCCTCCTGGACCCCCTCCCTGCGTGAGGGTGACGGTGTACGGAGGAGGGGTGGTAAGTTTGAGGCTTGGATGGGCTTGGAAGCCATGCACGCCCACCAGAACCCAGCAGGCACACCAATTTGGAGAGTAGCTTCTTCAGTGGCAACCCCGCAGCCTTGGCATGGCCCCACCCGCCCCAGCCCAGCCCGCGCTCCGTTGGGAACAACGGCAGCATTTCCCTCGTAGGGCCCCCCACCCCGCTCAAACAACTCACGGGTTTGTGATGTGCACATCCTCCGCAATGCGGGCGTTCTTGTCCAGGATCACTCGAGTCAGCTTGGAATTGGCCCCAACGCCCATGGGCACCTGGCCGGAGGCAATCAGCTCCGCACGCTGCTCGTTGGACTCAAAGTAGTCCTGCCCCATCATGAGGACCTCCTGCGCATGGGAGCGAGGCGACCACCGGCTGAGTGATGGGCGGTGCTGCTTTCTAGCAAGCTACTCTGCGCGTGCGGAACCTCTGCCCAGGCGGCAGCAAGACACCACCCAGCCACGCATCCCCTGCGCGCACCTTCATCTCCACGCCCTTGTCGATGCGAGACCGGATGCCGATGATGGAAGTGTCCACAAAGCAGTCCCTGAGGAGCGAGCCGTGGCTCACCACCGCATCCTGAAGGCGAGTCCCAGTGGGGAAAGGTTAAAATGGGGTGTCAGGACCGGTTGTAGGGAACACAAGGACGTGATTCCGGGGTGTGCAACGTAACGCTGGTGCCTCGTCAAATGCGACGCCATCCCAGAGTCATATACTGAATCATAGGGTATGTGCGCCCCCATTAATCTTAACAGATCACCTGTCAATCCACCCCTCTCTCCCATCCCCCAACTCACCGTCACGCGGGATCGGATGATCTTTGCGGGGGGGAGGAAGCGCGGCGATGTGTAGATGGGGCCCTTGGGGTCGTGGAACTCGAACTGGGGGGGCTGCAGTCAGGACGGGAGGTTGTTTGGGATGGTGAAGGGCTAGTGACCCTGACTCACCCTGACATTGATGACATGCCGCCGATATTCATTGCTGTCCTCGTCAGGCCACATGTGAGCCTGGACCCTTGCACTCCCAACTCACATTCCGGGTCAGGTTGATGTTGGACTCGAAGAAGGACTCGATGGTCCCAATGTCCTCCCAGTAGCCGTTGAAGAGGTACGCCATCACCTGAGGGGCGGCGATGGGATGCCAGGTCAGAAATGAAAGTGTGGTTGGAAACTCGAGGTCTATCAACTCAAAAACAATCCCAACAAGGCACCTTATTGTCCTTGGCCGACTGCGGTATGATCTCCCCCCCAAAGTCGTTGCGGCTGGGGTCGTCCTTGAGCAGCTTGATCATGACATCCTTGCGGAAGACGTAGATGCCCATGGAGGCGATGAAGGGGTTGGCGGCCGCCGCCTCTGCATCCAGCCCCAGCACGGTCGTGTCCACCGCCATGGCCTCCAACGCCGCGCCGCGCGGCTTCTCCGCAAAGTCCACGATGCGGCCCTCGCCATCTATCTTCATGAGACCAAAGTCGGAGGCGCGAGTGTGGTCCACGGGAAGGCAGCCGATGCTGATGTCGGCGTTGCTGGCGCGGTGCGCCTCCACGAACTTCATGTAGTCCATGCGGTACCTAGATGGTGGAAGAAATGGGGGGGGGGTGTAATAGAAGGAACGCCAGGGTTTCAAATCAGCATCCTCGAGAAGAAGTTGGAGGGCTGTTTTCTGGAGGGATGTGCATGGCCCCTCCTGGAGCGTGGAATCGGGCGTGTACCGCCCCCACCTGCACACCCCAGCCACAAGAATGTGACCCCGCACATGGGCACAGGTGCATGAACAGCCGGACCCCCCACCCCACCCCCTTCTCGCCACCGCTCCCCTGAAACAGCCACAGAGCCCCCCTGCCCCGGCACGCACAGGTGGTCGCCGGAAAGGACGACGATGTCCTGCACGTTGCGGTTCTTCACGTCTTCAAACAGCCAGCTGTACTGCCGCACCGCATCGGCGGTGCCCTGGAACCAGGCGTCTGTGGTGGGCGTCTGGTTGGCCGCCAGGATCTGCGGGATGCGGGGGAGTTGGGAGTGGAGTGAGGGGGGAGTGGAGTGGGGGGGGAGTGGAGATCGATGAGGTGGTGAACATAAGGCAGCAGAGTGGAAGGAGTGCGGGCGAGATCCGTCGGGCGATCTATAGGGCAGCCACCATTGTCGAGCAGCCACCATTGCCAAGCAGCCATGAATGAGCATGCCCCCCATCCCCGCACCCCCGCCCGCCGCACCTCGACGAAGGAGTCCCCTCCAAAGCGCACACCCGAGGTGCCCATGTTGTAGGTGCGTGCCAGATGGCGGTTGAGAGAGGTGGAGTTGAACTGGGTGAGGATGTAGATCTTGGAGATGCCGGAGTTGATGCAGTTGCTCATGGGCACGTCGATGAGGCGATAGGCGCCTCCAATGGGCACAGCCGGCTTGGCACGGTTCTTGGTGAGGGGGTAGAGACGGGTGCCTGCCCCGCCGCCGAGGATCACGGCCAGGACGGAGCTGCTCTGCGCGCGGGGGCTGGCGCTGGTGTCGGAGGAGCGCTCGGGAGTGGCCACCTCTGCGCGGATCCTTGGCTGGGCCCTGCGGGTCGGGACGTGGTGATGATCCATGGGGAAGAATGTCTTCACATGCACCGCCAGCAGGCTGGGCGGGCCATCACTCCGGCTTGAGGGGGTCGAGACAGTGAAGGCACGAGCCAGTGCCACTGGTTTCGACACCCATAACCATGGCCGACCTTGAGTTGCACGGCGCACGCTGCTTCTTCGACTGCACCCTAGACCCACGCAGGGCATTGGTGGAGCTGAATGGGCTGGCTGTAGCCTGGGCAACCATGGGCCGAACACCGGCGAATGGTGCTCGGCTGGTGCAGGTGCTGCCCTGCATTACGGTGGGAGGCCTGAGAATGCTTTGAATCTGAAAACCCGTTTGCAGGACCTTGAATTCTATCAATGGGTCAGGGTTTGTGTTCTGGCAGCTCGGTAGGGTGCTGAGGTCGTTGATGGGAGGAGGGAGAGGTCCACCCCCTAAACATGCAGAGCCTCCCGCTTTCCAGCCCGATTCAGGGCCCCCCCCCGCTCCATCATCGCCGCGATTGGACGCCGAGGACCCCACCCCCTGATCGCTGCCGGACCCTTGTATGCAAAGTACCTCGACATCGTCCTCGGGAGCCTAGCCAAGCCCAACTTCCAGGGTCATGGAGATGGGAATCTGAAGGCGGAAGCCCCGTCGCGTGGAGCCGGACTGCCCCATGGATCCCCACCATCCGCACACCCAGAGCTCTTTCTCTGCGCGGCAACACAGCAACATCCTCACTCCTTACATTAGAAAGTGCGTGGGAAGTGGCCCGCGGGTGTCGCACGCAGGCCCGGGCCCTGGGGCTCAGGCTGCACCCTGGTGGGCGCGCGATGACGCCACCTTGTCCCCTTCCCCGCATGCAGGGACTACCCCACGACCGCCGATGCCTATGATCTGCTGGAGGAGGCGGGCCGGGGCGTCAGTGCCACGGTGCGGGGGTTCATGGGTGTCGGAGGACCCACAGGCATCTACTGGTGGGCAAGGGGCATGTGTGGGCATGGCATGGGGACCTTGGGGGACTCGTGCGCCCTGCATCATGCACCCTCCATTGGATTTCGTATGCCAGGTGTGGCGTGCCTACTGCAAGGTCACCAAGGACCATGTCGCGGTGAAGCTGCTGGACCTGGAGAACATGAACTGCAGCCTGGTGTGTGTGTATTCGGTGGGTAGGGGGGGGGGGGCGGCGGGGGGGCACGGTGAATGGAAGCGTGGTGGTGGGCCTGATCCCTATGGAATCGAGAGCATGGCATTGATCCTTTGCCGGCCGCCCTGGTGCATCTCCTCTAGCACATTCACAGGGCCCGTCGGTGTAGCGCCTCCCTCCCTCTGGTCCCCCATCCAAACACACACACACACACACACCAAAAACAAAAAATCCCTACAGGACGAGATCGTGCGCGAGGCACAGACAATGCGTTCGCTGAACCACCCCAATTTGCTCCCGCTCCTGGCCTCCTTTGTGCACAAGGACAACCTGTGGATGGTCATGCCCTACGTCTCCGGCGGCAGCGTGCAGAACATCATGCGCTTCGCCTACTCCGACGGCCTGGAGGAGGGCGTGATCGCCACCATCATGCGCGACGTGCTGCGCGGCCTGGACTACCTGCACTCCCACGGCATCATCCACCGCGATGTCAAGGCCGGCAACATCCTGCTCACCAGCTCGGGGCAGGTGCTGCTGGCCGACTTCGGCGTGGCCGCCACCCTGGAGCGCGGCGGGTCGTGGGGCAACCGCGTGGTGGCACGCAGCACCTTTGTGGGCACGCCCTGCTGGATGGCCCCCGAGGTGATGGAGCAGAGCCACGGCTACGACGCGCGCGCCGACGTGTGGAGCTTCGGCATCACGCTGCTGGAGTGCGCGCACGGGCACGCGCCCTTCGCGCGCCTGCCGCCCATGAAGGTGCTGCTGATGACCATCCAGAACCCGCCGCCCACGCTGGACAGCGAGCCCACCAAGAAGACCTATACCAAGGCCATGCGCGAGCTGGTGGGCAAGTGCCTGGTCAAGGACCCAGCCAAGCGCCCCACCGCCGCCGCGCTGCTGGAGCACAAGTTCTTCAAGTCCGCGCACGACGCCGACTACCTGGTGCGGCGCCTGCTGGCGGGGTTGCCCTCCGTGCCGGAGCGGGTGCAGCTCATGCGCCAGGGGCACGGCCAGAAGCCCGACGCGCAGGACCGGGAGATCCAGGCCAGCCAGGAGGAGTACCGGCGCGGGGTCAGCTCCTGGAACTTTGACGTCGCGGCTCTGAAGGCCGCCGCTGCCGAGGCGCGCAGCGCCGAAGAGCGCCTGCCACCCATCTCGGAGAGTGAGTCGTCGGCTGGGTTTTGGGGGGTGGGGCGAGGTGAGGGGGGGGATGTCTCTCGGGGAGGGGGCCCGTGGGGGGGGGGGGGGATGATAGGGGAAATAGGCTGAAGCCAAGAGAAAAGTAAGAGGCTTGTGCACTGTCGACATTTACAAGGAGAAGTAAGTGGTCCCTCGCGTGGGTTGTTGCCGGATACCGGCTCGAATCAGAGCACAGTCTCGTGCTCTCGTGCCAACACAGACCCTCCCCAGCATTAATGTGCGCTGGCCCTCAGGCTCTCCCACACTCCTCCTCGGGCCTTAATCACCCACCCTTGCTCCTGTACCCTTCACAGCCTCCGAGGTGGGGGAGCTGGCGCGCCAGATGTCGGCGGCGCAGGTGAGCGAGGCGCTTGACCGCGGCAAGGCGCCCATTGAGAGCCACGTGTCTGGGTCGAGTTCGGGGCTGGGGTCGCCGCCGCACCCCGCGGCGGGGACCAGCGGCGCCCGCACCCCCGACCGCTCGCGCCGCACGCTGTCCAAGGGCGCCAGCCTGATGAAGGAGCAGGGGCGGTTCAAGGTTTACGAGGGTGACGAGGCACCGCCCTTCGCCACGCCCCCCGACGGCGGGCGCCAGAACGGGGCGCAGTATCTGGACGACTTTGCGCGCGCGCGCGGGACGCCGGGCGACGCCGCCGCCAGCACCGAGGCGCAGGAGCTGGAGAAGGCCAAGCGCAAGGGCCGGTTCAGATACGTGGAGGAGGACTTCGAGGCGCGGGCGCGCACGCCAGGGCTCGCGCAGTGAGTGCTCAGAAAAGGGCTGTGTGTGTGTGGAGGGTAGGGGGGAATGATTGGGTGGGACAGGAGATGACGCAAGGCGCTTGCAAAGGAGGGGGGGTGCTGGCATCTTTAATGCTGCGGGGTGCTGAGTTCGGCAGCGCAGGGACGGCACATCTCGTACTGCGGCGCAGGCGGGGGTAGCCTGGCCGCCAAGGGTGTGATACGCAGACACGCACGTCCCAGAGCCATGCTACCTGATTTCCCTGTGCACGTGCCCCTCCATCAACACTCCCATCCTCAAAATCCCTTCCTGCCCTCTTCATCCACTCCCGCAGCAAGAGCGCCAGCGTGGCGGCCTCCCTGGGAGAAATGCGCTCCATGTCCTCCGTCAGCCCCACCGGCCCTCCCGTGGGCATCCTGACGCCCCACCTGCAGCACCTGCTGGAAAGCCTCACCCTGCAGCAGGAGACGCTTCGAGAGATGGTGCGCGGGGTTTGGGGCACGGGGGACATGGGCGGCTAGGCTGGGGGTGGAGGGGCTGACGTAGGACCAGGTCCCCTGCAGATACCGTGCCCCGCTGCCCGCTCAACCCCCCCCCCCCCTTCCTCAAACTCACCGAACATCGCCAGGTGGCGGGCGTCAGCGACGCGGAGCGCGGCCGCATGGGCGCGCTGAACAGCTTCATCAGCGAGCGGCAGACCATGGCGCGGGCGCCGCGGGAGTACGTGGAGCGCCTGCGCCAGGAGGTCCTGGAGCTGCGGGAGGAGAATGCGCGGCTCCGGGAACGGCTGCGGCAGGGCAGCAGCGAGGGGCCCTCCCGCAACACCACCAGCGAGTCGCAGGGCTGAAGCCCCAGGCCTGCCCCGGCCGCCCTCTGCTCCCAAACACGTACCCCAGCTGAGCAGACTGGACTAGGATAGGCACCACCAGCCGCTGCAATAGGTGTAACGCTTGTACACTAGCGATCACTCCAGGAGGGTGGGCGCCCATCATGCATGGGCAAGATGAGTTGCCACACCGTCGCCACATGTTGCCCTGCCGGGCTCGCGCCGGCTGCACGGAGCCTTTCCAAGATCCACCCTCGTGCGCAGTTGGTTGCCGCAGGGGCTCTGCTGGGGTGAGACAGGCGAAAGAGGGGGGGAGAGCAGACGAGGAGCGCAGACATGAAGCAGTGGGATGCGCCGCCCTGGCCACAAGCTATTCAGCCACCACTCAAGGGTCGATGACGTCGGTGACGTCACGGTTCACAGCAGAGACATCAACGTGCCTGATGCTACATGGCCTGGTGTCCCAGACGTCCTCCAGCTCCCATCTGCACCTGCCCGTACTGTGGTGGGCTTGCAGGGTGATGTGGCAGCCACAGCACAGGTTGGACGTCTTGTGCAGGTCACCCACAAATACCCTGCACACTCTCTGGTACTGCAGACATGCAAGAATTTTCACGATCCGATCTGACCACGCTGGAGAAGGTAGTGACTTCCTGCCTGTGAGTGCGACCGTCAAACCTCACATTGAGGCCACAGCGGGCCTTGCTCTTTCCAGCATGCTCAGTCATCCCATGATTCCCCTGAAGGCTCTCCTCGGTCCCGTAGGCTGATCGATGACATGCCCCGGGTGTGCTTTCAGACTCTGATGGGAGGCTGCTCTGCACTTCCCATGGAGATTATGCCTTTTCTGAGGACAGCAGTGTCTGAGAATGGAAGCATCCAGACAAACATCATGCTGTCCACAGGCCAAAGTCTGAATAGACTCCTGCTGGTTCATAGTTTGTCCCATGGAATGGCCATGATCGGCATTGGTAAGGTGCCCAAGGAGCCCATCGGCGTTCTCACGCTTGAAAAAATCTTGCAGAACTACAGGACATGGTCCAGGAAAACGGAACTGATTGGGTCTGGAGGGAGGTGGGTTGACAGGGGTGTCCACCTTAGCTCAAAGCACAGGATGGGCAGCTTGATAGAGCAGTCTTGTAGCGGTCTTGACCTTAGTTGGTGTACATTTATGGTTGAAGCGTGGAACCCCCGTCCACCTAGCCATCTCATCTTGGCCTCTAACCCTATTAAACTTTCAAAAACAATAAACATTTCAGTTAGGCGCCTTGACGTGGCTCTGGAAATGACGAAGATCGATTCCACGCGCAGCAATCTCTAAGCTGAGGCAGGCGACGCTGTCCGCTGTACCCGGCTTTGGCAACATCGCGCCATCTGCATTGATGACAACTAGCCTGGCGCGCACACGCTGCCACGTCCCACCATGGGGGAATGCGCCAGGTCCAGACGCCAGCGTGAGCCCATGCACATACCACTGCCTGGCCCACCGCACTGTCGAGCACGGAGCAGGCTCGCTGGTGATATTAAAATCGCTCCAACAGTAAAAGGGCTCGTCTCTGAGCCGCGTAGATGTGTCTCAGAGGTGACGCGTGCGGATACTAGGAAGTCCAGTGGTCGATGGGCAGCAGGGAAAGGCCAGGAGCAAGATAAAAGCTCACCACATCCATGGATGACGCGTGCGAAGTCCAGAGGCGCAGCTGGCATACAGTCTAACACCATGGAGGCTAGAACAATTCACAGCAGCTGGCTGGCCTTTGCGCAGGGGTGCTCCATGCGGCCCTGTCCAACCCCGTGCCCACCCTTTCAATCAGGACAATGTCAGTTCTCAACCGCGGCTCACAAGATGTGCTGTCCCTGCAGCAACCGATGCTGCTGCCAGCGCCCCACCCTCCTGCCAGAAAATCAGCTTGAGAACGCTGCATTGCAACTTCGTAGATTGAGTTAACCATGAGGCAGAATTGCCAGAGCCCAAATCTTGAGGTGCGATGAAGACAGGGACGGCCTTGCATAAATTGGTCAGCCTTATCAGTACTCTCGGAAAATGCATGGCGTCCAGCCTTTGGGGGGGTGGGATATGATGACCTTGAATCAACTCGCTGACACCAGTGTCCATCAGCTCAGTGGACACCTGCAAGATGCTGCAGCCACTGCGGTCGTCACTTGCTTGTGAAATAGATCCTCACCTGCCCTTTTGATCGAACATGTGCCCCACTGCGCCAGCCTGCAGTATGAGGGATAGAGTAATCGTGCATGTGGCGTGTTGCAGTTCTCATGAACAGACGCAAGAGGCAAAGCTTGCAGTTTCAGGTGTGTCGCTGCATATGTGTGCGGAGTGCAGCTGGCCAGACCCTCACCCATGTCACACAGCGAACCGCTGTGTGGACAGACAGTCATTGGGCCATAGACTCACACATATGGGATCGGCACAAACCTTCTGCCACCATCATCTCAAGCACACCTTGAGTTCATGACCTCCGAGAGGCGAGGTGCGCCTGCCAGTAGCTGAGCGGACGCCGCAGCACTGTCTGGCAACCAGGACGCCAGCGGGGGGAGGCTGCCTTGTTTCGCAATGCTCATCCCAGCCAGAGCGTTTCCCTCCCGACGCTGCGGTTCACTGCGTCGCGGATGCTTGCAGAGGGAATGACCTACAACCCCGGCTGCCAGGCTCGTCACCAGCCAGCCATCCGCTGGGTCTGTTTGGCGCATGTCCGGCCAACTCACCATCCCTGCAAGTGCAGCATGCAGCTCGAGCGCACATCAGTGACCCCTGCCTCGCCGTCCCTGGCAATCAGCTAGATCATGGGGTCAACAGCCCAGCCTGGGGCACGATGTGGTCGCATGAGCACACCTCCTGGCACCAAAACCTTTGAAGGAGTGCACCATTGAGGAAGTGTGTCATTGCAATGGTCCTTTGAGCAGCATGTGAGGATCTCAAAGTCTGTCGAGGAGCAGGGCCACATACACCTGGTGGCTTCAACATAGCTCCTTCCAGGATATATGAACGATCCCAAGAAGACCACAGTGGGGCACGGCCGCTGTGCAGTCATCGCCACACCGTCATGAGGTCGCCAATCGGGACAGGGTCCATCGCATCCTTCAAGGCCAGTACAGGCAGGAGGTGTGACGAGGTGTAGGAGCAGGTGTCAGAACGCCACTTGCTTCCTCTCCCGATCTGGCTCCCTCAACCACAGAGCCTGAGCGTGTTGCAGTTCTCATGAACAGACGCAAGAGGCAAAGCTTGCAGTTTCAGGTGTGTCGCTGCATATGTGTGCGGAGTGCAGCTGGCCAGACCCTCACCCATGTCACACAGCGAACCGTTGTGTGGACAGACAGTCATTGGGCCATAGACTCACACATATGGGATCGGCACAAACCTTCTGCCACCATCATCTCAAGCACACCTTGAGTTCATGACCTCCGAGAGGCGAGGTGCGCCTGCCAGTAGCTGAGCGGACGCCGCAGCACTGTCTGGCAACCAGGACGCCAGCGGGGGGGAGGCTGCCTTGTTTCGCAATGCTCATCCCAGCCAGAGCGTTTCCCTCCCGACGCTGCGGTTCACTGCGTCGCGGATGCTTGCAGAGGGAATGACCTACAACCCCGGCTGCCAGGCTCGTCACCAGCCAGCCATCCGCTGGGTCTGTTTGGCGCATGTCCGGCTAACTCACCATCCCTGCAAGTGCAGCATGCAGCTCGAGCGCACATCAGTGACCCCTGCCTCGCCGTCCCTGGCAATCAGCTAGATCATGGGGTCAACAGCCCAGCCTGGGGCACGATGTGGTCGCATGAGCACACCTCCTGGCACCAAAACCTTTGAAGGAGTGCACCATTGAGGAAGTGTGTCATTGCAATGGTCCTTTGAGCAGCATGTGAGGATCTCAAAGTCTGTCGAGGAGCAGGGCCACATACACCTGGTGGCTTCAACATAGCTCCTTCCAGGATTGTCATCGTTGCAACCTCTAGCCCATTTTGTAACTATTTGAAGCCCATGCCGGCAACAGCTCGTCCAGGTGTTGCTAGGTGAACGATCCCAAGAAGACCACAGTGGGGCACGGCCGCTGTGCAGTCATCGCCACACCGTCATGAGGTCGCTAATCGGGACAGGGTCCACCGCATCCTTCAAGGCCAGTACAGGCAGGAGGTGTGACGAGGTGTAGGAGCAGGTGTCAGAACGCCACTTGCTTCCTCTCCCGATCTGGCTCCCTCAACCACAGAGCCTGAGAGGGACGGGCCGAAAACTGTCGCCGTCCCGCGGTCTGAGGAGGGGAACAACCTACCATCACCGCCGCTGAACATCATCGCAACCCCGGGCCAGCCACCAGAGGTCAATTCAGGGGTCCTTGAGGCATTCCAAAAGGCTGCCGAACAGGTACCCCCTGATAGCGGAGCAGAGAGTGCACGTGTAGCATGCAGTCCTCTACAAAACCCTAAAGGAAGCTGTACTGCCTATGCCACCATTTTGGCCAACAGCGAACTTCTCCTGAGGACTGCATATCAAGAACAGAGCTGCCCATCCACTTTCATCTTGAGATGGGGAGGGCCAGGAAGCTGCAGGCTGCATCAGCAGACGAGGAAAGCCGAGGTGACCTTGTATCTGTGGGAGATCCCATTCCGTTTTCCCAACTAGACCAGCCACCAGGCATGCAGCGAGTGTGGTGCCTGAATGCCCTTGGAGGGGCAAAGGATGTGAGGAGGGCCTTCCCCCCTACACCCCTTCCGCCTCAACAGACACACTTGGCCGCTTGAGGCTGGGTCGAGGGAGAGTATGCTGCGCATGAGGGGCTACCTCCCGATGCATCTGAGCTGGTGCCGCGACCAATCCGTCTGCGCGCGCGGAACCCATCGCGATAGTTTATGCAACACGCGGCTTGCAAATCTCGTCGCGCTCACATTGCATAGCGAGGACATGCAGTAACTTGTTGATCACCGCGTGTATCGTCTCCGATCACAGCATTGAGGGCGCTAACATTTATCTGCCAGCATGGCGACTGGTCGCACATATGATGTGGTTGTCCTCGGCGCCACGGGATTCACAGGCCAGAAGATCGCCGAGGAAATGATCGAGAGCAAGTTCCAAGGGTGGGTTGCTAGTAATGGGTTTGGTCAAGGGACCAGGCCTGTACGTCATGGGCCATCATGAGGCTGCTGGTCCAGGTACCAGCAATTACAGGCGGTGTGCCAGCCTGTCCCCCCGCCCACCCCCCGGCAGGTCATGGGCGGTGGCTGGCCGGTCCCGCAGCAAGCTGGAGAACGTCGTGGAGAGGCTGGACCTCACGTCGGCCAGTGTCAGGCCCGACATCGTGCTGGCAGACGTCGGGGACGCCCCCTCGCTCCTCGCCCTCGCATGCTCCACGCGGGTGCTGATCAGTGCGGTGGGCCCCTTCCGCAGGTACGGCACCCCCGTGGTGAAGGCATGCATCGAGGGGAAGTGCGACTATCTGGATGTCTGTGGCGAGCCAGGTGATGATGATGGAGGCGTGGTTATTTTGTGGAGGTGGGGGGTTGGGGTGGAGGCATCTGGTTTGTGCATGACACCACGACACTGGAGTGATGCAAGACATGAGCAATCGAAACATCAACCGAGTGGTACTAAAGTCATCATAGCTACATGTTTGTGTCAGTCGTTCATCGTAAAGTAATGTTCATGCCTACCTTCAACATGCGCCCCCCCCTGGGCATGGCATGCAGACCACCTCCACCCACCTCCCCGTCGCACCACATCCGCCATTGCAGAGTTCATGGAGAGGATTGAGCTGGAGTACGGAGAGGCTGCTGAAACTGCCGGCGTGCTCATCACCTCCGCCCTCGGGTTCGACTGCGTGCCCGCCGACGTCGGCACGCAGCTGGCTGCCTCCCTGTTCAAGCCCCCTGCGAGATGCACCTGGGTCGAGTCCTTTGTCTCCATCCACGCCGGCGAGGCGGGGCTGGGGGGCAACTTTGCCACCTACGAGTCGGCGGTGTTCGGCTACGCCCACGCCCAGTCCCTCAGCAGGCTGCGCAAGCAGGTGCGAGGGCTTTTCGGATGGGAGGCTGTGCAGGGAAAGAAGGAGGGGGAGAAGTTTTCAACCACAGAACGAGTGCGATGGGGTCTCCGCTTCCCGGCGATGACGTTTGCCACGCATGGGCGCAGGGCATTCCTCCTGCCCATCACACCCTCATGCTGAGGACCACCCCCCCCACGTGACACTCGTCCATCACCGGCACAGGCTGCAGCTGCCAAGGGCAAGGTCGACCTGAAAATCCCGGGGCCGAGACCCCGCCAGAGCGCCAAGCCGGTGTGGGACGCCCGCCTGCGGCGCTGGACCCTCCCCTTTCCCGGTGCGTCGTGGGGGGACGCTGATGTGGCGTGCACGAGACAGTGCATCGCTGCCCTCCGGTTTCCAAATGCTGACCCAGGCTCATTTACCTCCTGGACCCCCAGCTGCCGATGCGTCCGTCGTCAAGAGGACCTGGGCCGGGCTGGCCAAGCAGGGCGAGGCTGCAGCCCACACCTCTGTCTCTTTCACCCTCGCCGACCGCTGGACTGTGGCCCTGTGAGCTGGGCAAGGGGTCGTGGCATGCCACTGTGATGGGCCAGGCATGTGTCTGGGAGGGCCACGAGAGCCGGCACACCATGCAGACCCTGCAACCTGGGAAGTGCTTCGGCACGCTGTCATTCTAAAGAAAGGCCTCTGCTGCTGGATTGTCGTCCATGGCTCCCCACCCGCTCCACACCTGACGCACGCCCACGCATACTGGCAGGTACGTCTTCTTCGGCACGATCTTCTCCTTCCTGGCCAACCGGGCCTGGGGCCGGACCCTGCTCCTCCGTTTCCCCAGCCTCTTCTCCTACGGCGTGTTTTCGCGGGAGGGCCCCACCGACCGCCAGATCCACGACACCCGCTTCGAGTACCTACACATCGCGCATGGGCACGCCGACCCCGCGGCCGCCGCCGCGGGCGCGCCGCCGGACGAGCACCGCAGCGTGCGTATCGTGGGGCCAGAGCCGGGGTACATTGCCTGCTCCATCTTTGTCACCCAGGCCGCCAACGTGCTGCTGGAGGAGCGGGACGCCATCGGGGCGAGGGGCGGCGTGCTCACGCCGGGGCTGCTCCTGCGAGGCACGAGTTACCTCGACCGCATACGGGCGCGCGGCATCCGGGTGGAGGAGGTACCCACCCCCTCTGCGTAGGGGGGTTGTGCCGCCGACTGTGGCGGCTCACGATCGCTGACATGCCCCCGAATGTATTTACCCACTTTGAGCTGCGTCAGAATGTATCAAAGGCCATCTGGTCGGTCAGGAGTGTCGAGGCTTCCGCGGGTTGGTATGTTAAAGCTGGGATGCAGAAGCAAAAGAGATCGAGGGATCTTGTCGGGTCAGGGTCATGACAATGTGATGGCGCGGAGTTGCAAGGAGGCAGCGCGCGAGTTCAAGCCAGGGACGACAGGTGGCGATGAAGAAGTTGTCCTGAGGAAAAAGGCTAGCCCAATAAACGTACGCGACGATGAGTACGCAAACAACGATCCCCCGCTCCTCCGACCCGCATCAACGTCGCGGAGCCCATGGTAGGCGGCCCGGGAAGGGGTCTGGTCCGCACCAATTCAGGAGGCCGGCCATGGCTGGGCACCTGTCTGGACCGTACCCGCCCTCGGCAAAGGGGTCGCGCTCGGCACGCTTTGCCGCCAGGGCGCCGGAGCAGCCGTAGGGGTCGGTCCGGAAGGCGGCCGCGGCGGCAGCCTCGCCGTCCACGGCCGAGGGCGTCAGGGCGGGGGTGCCCACGTAGGAGAAGGAGGTGGCGGGGTACCGCACGGCCGCCCGGTGCATGTCCTGAAAGCGCGCTTTCTTAAACTCATAGCCCACCACCGTCACATGGGTGGGGTGGTGCCCTATGCACGCCGGGTGGCAGGCAGGAGGAAGGTGCTCAGAGACTGGACAGAACGGAAGCATGTGCCCGTGCTTGCAGCGCCACCAGAGCAGTGATGTGCGCAAATGTCATTGAGTGCTGCAGCACGCATTCTTGCCGCATACAAATCCCACCTGTCAGCTCGTAGTATCGGCACAAACCAAACAGCAAGTTTTCAAAACTGTCCCTAGCCTTCTCCTGTTGGGGCCCAGCAGCATGAAGGGAGGGTGTGGAGGACACGGGAGTACCTTTGTAGTAGTCCCTCCAGTGACAGTGGCACAGCAATCTCCAAGAACTCCCCCCATGGAAGGAGCAAACACTTCGCACCTCCCAGCCCATTCCGCTCACCTCTGTGAACGCCCTGCGGCGTACCTCCGGGAACCCAAACCAGTCGTTGGCCTCGGCGACAAGCCAGTAACCCTCGGCCTCGGCCCGGGGGCCGGCGCTGGCCCGTGTTTTCCCTCCGCTGAAGAGGAGCACCGACTTGGGGTCTGCTGCAGCCTGCTCCACTCCCAGCCTGATGTGTGCCATGAAACTCTCCGTCTGGCCCTTGACCTGTGCAGGTGGCGGGGAGCTCGAGCTCGGCCGGTCCTCCTAAATGTGCAACGTCTCACGAATACCAAACAAGATTCCATACCAGTGTTTGTTCAATCTTCAGTCAAAATGACCAACAGAAAATGCACACCTCCTTCTGGTAGTCGAGGAGGTACCAGCTGCTGGAGCCCTGGGCGTCATGGTAGTCCAGACCCGTGTACACAGAGTGGCCGGCCACCAGGATGAGCGTGGAGAGGTTGGAGACCGGGAACTTCCGCGCACGAGAGAAGGAAGAATCTCGGAGCAGACGTCTGGACGATGCAGGGGCAACTTGAATGTCAGATCCGACAGCCTGTTGGTAAGGGGACACAGGGGGAGAGGAGGCTGAGCGCCTCATCACTTGCATGACCGTGTACCCAAAGAACCCTGCATCAGTGCGCCAGTGCCAGGTCTCCACTTGCCCGGTAGGCGAGCGCCACGAGCAGGGCAAACAACATGAAGACAGCTACAGCAGTTTGTAGTGTTGAGGGTATGGTCACATTCCGGGCGCGACGAGCGGGTTGGGCGGATCCCCTATGACTGAGGTGCGTCCCGGGTTGTGGTGGTCCAGAATGGAGAGGAAGCATGCTAGGGCGCACCCTGCTCTACATCGTATCAGGATATGTCGCAACCTTACGACCAAATTTTTCACCCTAGGTCACTCCCTTGGTGTGTGTATTGTCTTTTTGTCCTGCATCTGCCCTATGCCTGTTTCGCAGCTCGTCGTTTGGGGACTGAAGAAAGCGCGCCTCGCTCCGCAGTCCGCCTTTCCTACTCGCCGCCCCGCTCCAGCCCGGCCCCTGCCCATCACCCTCGACACCTACGGAATCTCCCTCTTCCCCCGCTGTGATAGAAGGACATCATGGTGAGTGCGGAGCGACCGCCTCCAGCGGTGCAGCGGGGTGTTTCCGCGTGGGATGCCGGCCCTGTGCACCTCCCAGCAGCCTGCGCTCAGGCCGTACACGACGTTGCCGGCTGTGTGGATGGATGCCTACGATTCCAATACAGCACTGCCTTGGGACTGGATACCAGTGCCCGCGCGGACGCTGGCTTTCATCCCCAGCGCGACGGGCTTGACACGCTCACCCCGTCGTCCACATCCGTCCCCTGCGCAGGCACCAAAAAGGAGGGTCGCGGCAGCGCCTGCGGCCGCTAAGAAGGCCGCTGCGCCAGCCAAGGCCGTGAACCCGCTGTTCGAGAAGCGCAGCCGGACATACGGTGCGCCGCTGCTCGGGACCAATGCGCGGGAGGGGCCCTTACGGATTTGGGGCAGGGATGGACACGGCCTGTCGAGCTAGTTGTGGATGTATGGCTGGGAATTGTGCATCCAGACTGGGGGCGACAATGCCGAGCAGGAGGAGTGCCAGCTTCTTCAAGGCCTGAGTGCGCCTGCTGGCGTCCTGCCAGCCGGGCTGAGGCTGCCATGCCGAGCCCATGCCGGGGCTGGTGTCAGGTGCCTCCGCATCCACGCAGCCTCCATTCCTCGCTCCCCACCCCACCCCATCCCCACCCCATCCCTGTGCACAGGCATCGGCGGCGCCCTCCCCCCGAAGCGCGACCTGCACCGCTTTGTGAAGTGGCCCAAGTATGTGCGCATCCAGCGCCAGCGCCGCGTGCTGACCCAGCGGCTGAAGGTCCCCCCCACCCTCAACCGCTTCACCAAGACCCTGGACAAGTCCACTGCCTCCTCCCTCTTCAAGCTGCTGCTCAAGTACCGGCCCGAGGACCGCGCGGCCAAGCGCGAGCGCCTGCTGAAGGAGGCCGAGGCACGCACCGGCGGCGTGGAGGTGGAGAAGAAGCGCCCTGTGGTGGTCAAGTTCGGCATCAACCACGTGACGCAGCTGGTGGAGGCGGGGAAGGCCAGCCTGGTGGTCATCGCGCATGACGTTGACCCCATCGAGATCGTGGTCTGGCTGCCCGCGCTGTGCAAGAAGATGGGCATCCCGTACGTCATCGTGAAGGGCAAGGCGCGCCTGGGCACGGTGGTGCACAAGAAGAACGCCACCGCGCTGTGCCTGACCAGCGTGAAGAACGAGGACCAGCGCGAGCTGGCCAAGATCGCGGAGAGCGCCGCATCGCTGTACGAGGGCCGCATCTCCTGGGGCGGCGGCATCCTGGGCACCAAGAGCCAGGCCCGCCTGCGCAAGCGCGAGAAGGTGCTGGCCAAGGAGGCTCGCTGAGCGTGTGGAGTTGAGGGGGCGTGGGCACGCCCGTCGTGCCCTTGGCTCCCCAGTCGGGTGCGGTGATCCCCCCCCTCGGGGTTGTGCCGTGCCATCTGGATGTCTGTGTAACAGCGGGCAACATCAGCAGCGTCCACCCAGAGCTGGGACTGGAAAAGTGGGATTTGTACAGTCGAGGATGGTTGCAACAGATGAAGACGAGGGCGGCCTGCTCCAAAGTGTGCCAACGAGGGAGAACTCCGGGGAGAATCCAACTCATGTGTGCGCGCGGGGGTGGCGGGAAAGGGGGAAGGTCCACCAAATCTCATGAAGATCTGGCATGGGCATTCCCCGAGCCTCCCAGTCCAAGGAGCACAACAGCGCATCGGAGTAACCCAAACCGACCCTGGAAATCCAGTGGCCCCTGTATCGTGAGCATCGCAGCACAAGAGCGATCCTGCCCGAACCGCACGTCAGGCTCCGTCTCGCAGAATCCCGAAACGCATCGCGGGCGTACCCGACCCCGCGCTCCCATCATGCTCAGGGTTTACATGCCATGTTCCATTCCAGGGCCCTCCATCGGGCCCAGGCATGGGCCTGTGGGCCCCCGAGGCCCTGTCGCACGTGGCCGACGCCATGACCGTGCCACCACGCAGCGCCGGAAGCCACAGGTCGCCCAGGTGCGACACAAGCTGCACATTTGTATGACTACCCGGAAAGTGCTTATCTGACCCCTCACGCCCTCTCTTGCTCCCCGCATGGTGCAGGCGAGCCTCGCAGCCGGTCCGGATCTCCAGGATCGGGTGGAGCCTACCTGCTTCTCCAAGGCCTTTGTCCGGGTGGGTGCCGGCATTTCACCGGGGGACTCTGGGTGAGGAGGGGTCTTAGGAGTCTGGGTCGTCCCCCAGGACATTGAATCAATCGTGAATGTGCTGCGTCAGCCCCGGATCACCCCTAAAACGCCCTGTACAGGCCGGCCTGGTGGCGGTCACACTGGTGGGCCTGGTGACGCGCTCCCGCTGGGCCACCGCGCAGCCGCCCGACGGCCGCCCTTTCCAGGGCCAGGGCCCCACCCTCCTCGCTTCGCACCCCCGGCGCTCGGGCGCCGCTGAGGGCGGAGGGCGCTGGTCCGCGCCCTCGCCCGGCGCGGCGTCGGCGGCCGCGACGCCCGGCCTCTGCTCCGCCACCGCCCTGGTGGGGCTGGGGGGCTCGCTGACCATGTCCAGTCAGCGCCCCGCCACGCTCCCCGTGCCGCGCCAGACCGGCACCATCAGCCTGGCCACGCTGGCGGTGATGGCCATGATGGGGGTGCCCCTCATCTCGCTCCTCAGGGCCCAGGGGCTGGTGGGGCAGAGGTGGAGCGCGCCCCAGCCCAGGGTCTACGCCGCGCCCGACGCCGCGCGAGACGCGCAGGCGCAGGCGGGAGAAGAGGGGCCGCTTGCCTCGGGAGCGGAGAGTGGCGAGTCGGTCGTGAACGAGCCGGCCGTCTCAGCGGCGCTGGCCGCCTGCCTGGGCGCGGCGACCTCTCAGCCGTCGCCAGCCGCTGCCGAGGTCGCCCCCCTCCAGACAGGGGTGGAGAACCCGCTGGGACCCAAAGTACCCAGGCCTGTGCCCAAGTCGCCGGAGCCCTGGGTCCGCCGCTTCTTCCAGCAGTCAGCCGCCAAGGCGGCGGCTCCGGGCGGGAACAGGGGCCCGCTGCCTACGTCTCGCAGCGAGGGAAGTGCTACAGCATTGGCGGCTGCATCGAGCGTGACAATCGCAGAGCCTACCAGGGGCCAGTCAGCCAGGGATGATTCAGCAGCGAGCGCCGACCCGCTGGCAGGGACCAGCTCGGCGGCAAGCGCTCTTGCCGAGGCCCCGGCACCCACGAACACCCCGACCCCCAGCGGCCAGGTTCCAGCTGGCGCCCGGGTTGAGAGCCCAGCGCGGGATGTGTACAGGGGGGCGAAGCCCTCGAACGACGCCGAGCCCGAAGTGCGTCCCGGGCGCGGCATCGAGAGGCAAAGCGCAAAGCCACTGCGTCGGCGAGCCGCCGGGGCGAGCTGGGACGCGGTGGCCCTGGCGCTGGCCCCCCTCATGCCGCTGGTGGAAAGCATGGCATCACTTGGCTTGGAACTCCAGGTAGCTGAGCGGGCTTGTTGGGGAGGGGGGGGGCTCCTGTGTGTCTGGAGGTCATGTATGCCACTACATGGAACGGAGGATCTTGCTTGCGATGCACCCTCCCAGGGACCTCTTCACATGGACAAGCCCTGGATTTCGTCTCACCGGTCCCATGCCTGCAGGAGGACCGGAGTCGACGTCGGCGGGCGCGCCCCAGCCGTTCGCCAGCTGCGGCAGCCCTGCTGCAGGTAGGGTGGGCGAAGCTGGTCTCTATTTCCGGTGTTCTCATGGATGCAGAAGGGAGGAGAAATGGCTATGCGTGCCCCATGCATGCTACCGCCGGGCGGCTCGTCATCCTGCACCCTCCGCCGCCCTCACGCAGGAGTGGGGCCCCACCCAGCCGTCGGCGTACGATCCGCTGCACGGCCTCGCGGACTGGTCTGCGCCGACGGTCTGGTCCAAGTATGACCCCCTGGTCCGCGCCATCCGCAGCACGGCTCGCCCCGGCTCCTCCAAGTACGACCCGCTGGACGTGCGCTCCCGTGCGCCGCGCTCCCAACCCGCCTTTTTTGCCGCCTCGGCCGCGGGGCCGGACAAGTACGACGCCGTCGGCTGCATGCTGGCCGCCGCGGCCGCGAGCTTTGGCGGCCGTACAACTTCGACCCAGGGGCCCCAGCGCTATGACGCGGCGGGGCAGCTGCTCCGGGCCTCGCTGCAGCACACGCTGCCGGAGGCGCGTAGCGTGCGCTACGACCCCATCGACTGGCTGCGCAGCGGGTGGGCGGGGGGGCCGGAGGTCCCCGCCGCGCCGCAGGGCGCGGCACGGTACGACCCCGTGAGCGGGCTGGGGTCCGTGACGGCGCCGCGCCATGCGACCAAGTACGACCCCGCCCGGGAGCTGCTGTCGGGGGACTGGCTGGACGCCGCGACGCGCGGCTTCGATGCCGCCGCCTCGCGCCTGGGCCTGATCCCGGAGGCCGCGACAAATGAAGGCCGTGCCTCGATGGAGGGCCCAGCCGAGGACCTGGATGGGGTGGCCAGGGACGCCGCCGACCCCTCCATCTGGTCGCCCAAGACGCCCGCCCTCTCCTCACTCTGAACTTACACACACCATGCTGCGTGCCAGGGGGGGCATGCTGCCAGCCGGGTCCCCTATGCAGCAGACAATTTTGACAGCGCCTCGATCGATGCCTGTGGCCATGTTTTCGTCACGCCCTCGACCCCAAGGGCCCTTGGTCCCAGAGATTAGCGATTTCATTGCAGGGCTGCTGGAGGATTGGGTTTCCCCATCCAAGTTTCTCTTTGCATCCACCCCTCCTGCCGGCCTGAGCCGGCCGAGATACCCTCTGTCCAATGTAACGAGAAGACTTGCAAGTGCAGGGCCACAAGTGTGCAATGTGTAAATGTATGGGTGAACATTCAGTGAAGCCCATGATCAAAATTTGGGGATGTATGTGGGATGCTGGTCCGAGCACTGCGCCTTTCCCTCTGCCGGATTCGTTCTGAGGCTGCCCTGCGCCCACCTCAACTGGCCAGTCCCCCTATGATGCCTCATCCTTGTCCAGCAGCCGCAGGACCTCCTCCGAGGCGGCTACCTTGCCCTGCACCACGTATACCCGGTTGTTGGCCTCCAGCGAGCCCAGATCGTACATGTAGTTGACCATGATGCCGTGGCTGCGCTCCAGGCCGGGCCCGCTGACGTCGGCGCGCCAGTTCAGGCGCCAGCACGTCGCGCCATTCTTCAGGTGGAACGCTGCCACGGGGTCCAGCGCCAGACCCCTGGAAGGGTGGGTGCTGGGTGGCGTGCATGGGATGCAGAGGGAGGGCGCACGACCTGCGGCAGCACCTCAGGCACGACACACACAGCAGGCTCCCCTTGCACCCCAGCCAGTGTCATGTGTGCAGTGCCAGCCGTGCACGCATGCTGAGCCTTGCCTCGCAGGAGTCCTGGAGGCTTTGCAAGCAGCCATGCATCCCCGGTCTCCCCCACCCCCCCGCTCACAACCCTAGCCCGCAGCGCCCACCTGCGCTTCTCCCAAAGGAGGTAGACGGCGGCCGCACGCATGAGCCAGGGCCGTACCACGGCCTCGGCCTCGTGGCAGGAAAGCCAGGCGTCGTTCTCCAGGTGCACCAGCAGCCGCTCGGCGAGGTCGCCCTCGGGCGTACCGCTGCGCTCCCGGGCCTGGACCAGCAGCCGATGGTTGACCCAGGCGGCAAACCCAGGCAGCGGCGACAACGTGACGAGCGTCTGCAGGTCGAACTCCTTCAGCAGCTCCGTGGCCACCTGCTTGGCGGGATTGGATGGGGGGAGAGGGGGGATTTGTGGTGGGGAATTGGGAGGGATCTGGTGGTGGCTGGCATCTGAAGTCAATGGTGATGGAGAGCGGCACGGGGGGTGCAGCAGCCTTCCCAGCACAATGACTTCACACAAGAGGGTCCAACAAGCACACAAGACCCCTGTCGGCGCTGCCAGTACAGGTGCTGATGCAGGCTCAATGCCGAGGCTCATGCCCTACGAACACACATCTTCAGGATTCCGGACCTGCTATCTCAATCACCCACCTTTTTAATCAGGAAATGCCCCAACTCCACCCGCGCCAGCCCCGGCTGGGTGTTGGAGATGGAGTAGAAGACCGCGGTGGTGGGGTCACAGGGCGGCAGGTGGGCTGCCACAGGAAGCTGGGGAAGGGGTCACAAGCGGCAGCTCTGGTCGTCACCCCGGGATGGTGCATTCGAATCCCCTCCCAGTCTCGGACACAAGCACCTGCGCCACATTGAGCACCCCACCGTCTCTCCCTTCCCCCACCCCCCCACCCACCCCACCCTCCCCCCTCACCCTGCGGCTGGTTGATGATCTCGGGCATGGCCTCGGGGGCATGGGTCATGAGCGCGGCGTGCAGCACCACCAGCGGCTCCCCCGGCATGGCTGCATGTGTGAGGGCAAAGACGCGCCGCCGCGGCCCCAGGCGGTCGCGCAGGTCGCCCCAGCCCGCCATACGGTGCACCGCCTCGGCGTCCTTCACCCTCTCCAAAACGGCGGCCGGCGTGGCCTCCCAGGTCAGGCGGCGCAGGTCCAGCATGCCTGCGCCGAACCAGGCGGCCAGCGCCTCGCGCAGCGCC